GGAAAAGGGACCACTGGGGTGTTTCTTACAAGTGCGGATTCCCAGTCCTTCCCTGCCCTTTTAATAGATTTCCTAAGCATAGGGTGTGTCTGAACAACCTGCTCTTCTAACACTCTAGGTAATTACCAGCAGTCCCTGAACCACACCTTGACAAATATTATCTACTCAGAAAACAAAACAAAAAAATTCTATGGTCAAATAAGTTTGCCAAATACCATGACTTCCCCTCTCTACCCCCTTGAGATCTGCAATTGTGAATCATATTAAAGGTTCTAATGGGTACTATAGTAAAGAAACTCATATAATTCCCTTTTACTCAGTTTTCCCAAGGTTATTTGGCCATGAAACCACTTTTTTTTTTCTTTAGCAGCTCTGGAGGGGCAAGGGTCCTGAGGAACACCATTTGGGAAATGCTGCCATAGAGGGTTCATGTATAGCTCAATTCATATCATCCCCAAGGAAACACGTTCTGATTCTTTCTCACTCTGCTTTTTCTCTTCCATTTATGAGTTGTAATAATCCCATTGGTGGCTATCCATAGCACATACACCTTAAGGTTGGCTAGAGATACACCTCTATCAAGGAAAAAAAGAAGAAAAAGAAGAAAGAAAATCCAAACGTTTTGATTGAAGTTATAAAGTCTAAAGATCCAAGCCCTCTTACCATTCCAGAGTGCTACATATTACCTAAGAGTGCTTTTAGGATCTCATTGGCTTCTTGCAGAGAGTACATCAGGGACTGAGGTCATTCCCATTTTATAAATAAGGAATAAGAGGTCCAGAGAAGGTAAGCAACTCCCCCAGACCTGGAATGGAAACCTAAGTCTTCAGGATCCTATCCTAGTGCCCCTTCCACACACCAGCCATCATGACCCAAGCTAGTGATTTGGCCTCCTCAGAAATTGTTGGCTTGCAGGACTTCCTTTGAGTCAGAAACCTTTTGAATATATGAAGAGCTCTGCCCAAAAGGCTTCAGAGTCCTCAGATGTCTCCTTCAGGTTCCACAGCAAGCCTCACCTGCCTCCTTATCCCTGCTCAATTAAACATAATTTTCTCCACTCACCCAAATAAAGAACCATTTCCACTCCATTTTATTTCCTTCCTTTAGTTAAATGACAACACTACAATACCATTGTTTTCTATTTCTGTCATTATATGTGCACTGCAATTTATCGGCCTTAGAGAATAAACAAGTTTTATGGGCTAACCTTGGGAACCTAACTTCTTTGTAACACAGGAGGTGAAATTCAATCCATTCCCCATTTCCCCCATAGAAACAACAAATGAACAGAAGGACTTCAGGAAGTGGATTCATTTACACATTAGGAACGGCCTAAGAGGGGGTACCCTCTTCACCTTTCATCACGCTAGGGGACCCATCTCCTGTATCAGCACCAGCCTAGTAAGCAGACCAGGTTGGGGGGAATCAGAGTCCAGGTTTCACTGGACAATCTCTTCAGGGCATTCCCAGTTTCCTGCTGTGTGCACTACCCACACCACCACCAAGCATAGGCTGCGTGCTGAGCGGTACCCCCAAACCTATTCTCCAGGTCCTGTTAGGAAGGTAGAAAAGTGAGGACCCCCTTTATAGAGGATTGGGAAGTGGCCTTGAAGGGAGGTGCTCCCAGTGGGACAGCACTGCCATCTCCTGGCCGGTCTGGGTACAGCATGTCTGAGGCGCGGGTCCGGGGCCCTGGCCGTATTGATCCGTGCTCTTTATTGACAGAAACTCCTTCCTGATCCCCTTCACCGCCCTGGTGGATGGCTTAAGGGAAGGATTTGGAAATTTTGTTAGCAGAAGACTTCCTCCAGCAAACGACTACGCTTTGCCCACAGCTTGCCATTATTTATACTCATTTTCCTCCTGCCCTGCTGCAAGTCCGTTTGCATTTCTCTCCCCCACCGACCAAGTATTCTCTTTGCCCACATCACACCTGGTCCTTGTCTTTCCCGACATCCCCTTGCTCACAATCCCTCGAGTCATTCTTAGTCTTTCTCCCTGGCTCATTCAGCATTTTCTGGCTTTAATGATCCTTGAATCCCTGAGAATTCGAAGTTAAAAAGCAGAGCTCGTGATGTCATGTGACAAACATAAACTCTGGGGCCCTATTCCCAGAGGAAGCTGCTGTCAGGAACAACCAGCTCTAAGCTGTGCCATGAAAGGATCCTTCTCTTTACCACCCAGCCCCCTCGGTTCCTGCTGATCCTTCTTCCTAAATATCTCTTTAATCTGCGCCCTCTCCCCTTTCCCACCATCTCTGCCACAGACCTAGGTGCTGCTGTCTACTACAATAGCCCTTAACCTGTCTGTGAATCTCCACCACCTCCCCAAAACTCCCAACAGCTCCCCACCATTCTCTACCCTGCCACCAGATGGAGGTTTCCACAATGCAAGCCTGCCTGCCAGTGCGACTGCAAGATTCAAGCACCTGTCAGTGTCCTCCACTGCCCAACTCATTCATCCCAGCAGAGATCCTCAGGGCTGGTTGCATCTTAGCTTTGAAAAGCTCCAAGGCACAGGACTCAGCTGAGACCCATTGAGGCAGACTCCCTGGAGGGGAAGCAGGTTCTATATACCCACAGCTGAGCTGATTAGGATGCATGGTGCAAGCTGAGAACCACAGCACGCACATGGCCAAGTCCCTGCCCATCTCCCTAGTGTGGCTCCCCACCAAGCACCCCCCCTGCCACCAAGAAACCACATTCCTCCCTCGCCCATGCCTCACGCCACCTAACCCTTTCCCATCTTTGCCATCGGGTTCCTTCTTCCTGAGGTACCCTGCCTCTCTGACAAAGTCAGACTCTTCCTTCCAGACCTAATGCTGACCATCACGTCTGTGACACTTGGCTGTGGTGTCAGTCCATACCCCTGTCGATTCACGCTCCCCAACATGCTACCCGCTGTCATGGTTTGTCCATACAGCTGTCCACCCACACCACACCGCAGACTGTTCGAGGGCAGAGCCAGTGCTCTGTCCTTGATGACTCTGCCAGCATCTTGCATGGAACAGAAAATGGCTCAGAAACTTTAGCAGTTGCTTGTGACACTTCTGCCCTCCTGCCTGGCTTGTGGCCCATCCCTTCCCTGACAGCTTTTGTCTCCTTCGGTCTGTCCCAAAGGGGAGGGACTGCCCCATAAGCTTCAAAGCCCTGATGGCTCATAACCTAACTCTGAGAAAAGTGGCCCTCTGAAAAGCAGATTTGTCCAGAAACCCATCCCCGGGGCCTACACTCAGCTACCAGAGCTGCCAGAGTTGGTCCCATTACAATGAGGTTAGGCACAGACATTGGGGCTGGGATGTTCTCCTTGGTCAGATAAATATCCTTTAAAGATGAGTTTCTCCCCACTTCCTTCTCTGCCCCATGGAGAACCTAAATGATCAGCTGAGGTTTTCTCTGCCTATCCCTTCATGCAGCATGACCCCTACAGGGGAAAAGAATGCTAGAAACTACTACAGTTTCCTGTAACTCCTGATCTTGGCGGGTGGTGGAGAAATGCTGCAGTGGGTGAAGACAGGGGTGTGCTTCTGGCATCACAGACAGCTCCAGAGCAGAGAGACCAGCTCCCCAGGAGTGATCACCAGCAGGGCAGCAGCCCTGGCCCAGACCTACTGAGTCACAGGGCCTAAGGATGGGGCCCAGCAATCTGTGCTTTACTCAGCATGTTTATCAAGCATGGCAAAAGTGGAAAAGCATTGCCCACCATGCACCACCCCTGGCCCTGAATCATTCTGGGGCTTGATCCACTGTGCAAGGGAGGTGCTTCTTTTCTAAAAAGCCTGCATTTGCTGGATTTAGCACCAGCCTCCTGAATCACCAAAGAGAGAGTTCCACCCACACCCACCCCCCATCCCTTGGTGTCAGCAGAAGAAGACTCAGGACTGGGAAGCTGTGCAGAGGGACGTTCAAGAGAATGAGGAAATCAGCTCAGGCTGCAGCCCTGACTAAGCTGGATCAGGATCACAGAAACAGGGCAAAGGTCTCTGCAAGCGTCTCCTGCCTCTACCTCTGCCTCCTAATCTGACTTTATTTTTCTTCCAGGGCTTAACACTTCTGGTTTGGTACATTTATTGTTTATTGTCTGTCTCTCCACCAACAGAATTTAAGCATGAGGACAGGATTGTTGTGTTTTCTTCACTTCTTTAGCACCAGTACTCAGGGCGGGACCTGACACATAACAGGGCTTCATCTGCATTTGTTGGAATGAATGAGTGGAGGAATGAATGTCTGGCTTGCTCACCTCTGCGATCGCACCTCTGTCCCCACCCAGGGCATAGAGCACACTGCTGGGAAGAAGCAGGCAGATGCAAGTCCTCACTGAATTCTTGTTTGGACCACCCTCACCAGATCTAGCAGCCACTGTGGCATTGTGTGTGTTTGTGGGGCTGGAGGGCGATGCTGAAAACTTACACGGGGGCCATGAATCCTTTTGAGGGTATGGCTTCGCCTTCAGCCAGAGGTTAGAGCCTGGAGAACCACAGGCACTAAAGGACTCCCTGGTCCTGGAGCAGCACTGCAGCTTGTAGGGTACATGCCTTCCCACTCCCTCACCTCTCCTGATTCCAAATACCATTGTTCGCCAGCTTGCAAGTGTGAGACCACAGGCCAACCAAATTCCATTATAATGCACAAATTGTACCTTCTCATGCACTTAGGTTAAATTTAGAATTCAAGTGCACTCATGTGAGTTAAATAACACAAGGCATTTTTTTAAAATCAGGTGGTTTATAATCATTTTATTTTTTATTTTTTAGTGGGAATTTAAGTTACTTCAATAATGATCACTGACTTCGCTGTAGAAAAACCTTCCAAAGTGACAGGATAATAAGCCCAAAGGATCTGACTGACCAAGTGCCCATTCAAACAATATGCCTCTGTTGTGGAGCACCTTCAGAAAACCTAAGGTGTGGGGGGCAAGGGACAGGAGCAGGGCTGCGGATTGAGGGAGTGAAAGGGAGTCATAGAACACTCTTCAGGAGGAATCAATCATCAAGAGTCAAATTATTTAAAGTTGAAATGAGTGAGAATTTATTCACAACACATGTAGATCTATGAAAGTGATTATGCAAATAGGTGGGAAGGTGGCTCTTGAGAAGAAGAGTAACACAGAAGCTTGGTCTCCAGCATGCTGGTCAGAGCTTAGCTAGATGGGAATCCATCTTGGTCCCTCGTGGTTCCCTGTACTCTTCCTCCTAATACTAGCATTTTTTAAACAGGGGGAGGTTTACAGCTTTTCCCTCAAAGCCCAGTGGTAATGGCAGGTGACCAGCATCAGACTACTTTAGCCCCTTGGCCATCAAAGAGAACCCCTCCTTGGTGCTTTTTTTCTAAGGAAAAGATTTCTAGTAGAGGAGCTTTATATATATTTTTATATATAATACATATACCAATTTCCAGAGATTTCCAATTGGTGAAGTGCTAGATGATTCTTTTTTTCCTCTTCCCCCCTCCAATCTCATGTATTTGTTACTAAAGATAGACTGAAAAACCTTGTAGTCCAGTGCTGTCTTCCTCATATGCTACTACTGGCTGATTTTCAGACCCCCAATACAAATGGGCAAAAACGCAGGTGATAGGGAAGTAACCTGATTTGTCTGAAGCTTGATAACATGCTTTGTCCTGCAGGTTATCCAGCCATCTCAGAAACCAGGGGCCAGGAGCATCCCTCAAACTTGCAATAACCAGTCACCACTACCCACCCTGCCCCAAGCCCTCACAGCCCCAACCCTGGGCTGGTCTTGTCTCATGTGACAACTGCTCCAATAGGCCATCAGAACGTTCTCGAATTTTCTCCCAGTGTCCGCTTCTTTCTGTCCAGGACATGCTCCCCGCTGTAGCCATGAGGGCGGATTTTCAGCTCCACGTAAGGAATGGAGAATTCATGTCCTTTCCATGGCTCCCAGTTCACCCCCTACATAAGAAAGCCAGCATCAAGAAGAGGCACTTGGGAGGAAGGAGGGGTGGCTTACGATACAAAGGAATGCTTCTTTGTCAAGGAAACCACTCCCTCTCTGCTTAGGGGAGAGAAAAATTAGAGGAGCCTTGACTGGGGTAGTCATCTATCATAAGGGAAGTAGAGAGCCCAAGCTAGATACATACAGCCTCCGCTGGGCAGCCGAGGTTTGGCGGGCTGATGACTTGGAAGACCCCAACCCCAACCCCAACCCCACCCCCACTCCAACCCTAACCCCCACCCCAGTGGTTGGGAGGATGTGGTGTGAGCCCAGGGGATGAGGAGACCACAGCAGCCGCAAAGCTAACAGGGTGTCAACCTGGCCAGCAATGCGCACATTATCTTTGCCTCGCTCTTTTCCTTTCCAAAAAATTAAAGGCAAAAAATAAACATATTAATTGGTCAATCGTGTAAAATCATTTTCAATTTAGGCTGTTTAGATACCAGCTCTGGGGTAACGAATAGCCTGCTGAAAACTAAATTTCATTTTATGTCTTTTGACTGGTGAGCACAATAATATTTAATTCACTTAATAACCTTGCAACCTAGCCAATAAAGAGCCCAAGTGACCAATTTTATGTATTTTAATTTGTGAGGTAAATAATAAACAAGAAGCTAAATGCCTTGCAGACTGTGAAAAGCACATTAACCAGATGAATGTCTTTTATTAGCAAATGTGGGGATGCTTTAGGGCATGCTGGCTGTTCATTTCAAATATTTGATCTCTGATCGCAAGCTTCCCTGAGTCAGCCCACTTGCTGCCACCATGATTCATGGACCCACCCTCCTTGGCCTCCCCGGGGGGGGGGGGGATGTTTCTTCTTCCCTTTGAAAAATCACTGAAGGATTGGGAGTCCCTACTGCCTGATAGTAATCAAACTGTACCTGGACTTGAGATGTGCTAATATTTACAGTAATATTGGTAACTAGGTGAGTTCTGGGGAGAGGTGGCTTCCTGAAGGCTAGAATAGACCCGGGAAATAGAAACCCAAGATGGGGAGGAGCTCTTGGAGGGGATGGATTAATGATGATCAGGAACAAAGATGCCATTTTCAAGTGGCTGTATGGGAGCAGCCAGGAGAGGCTCCACATCTGGCCAAGGAGTCAGGTGATGTGCACAGGTCATAGAGGTTTGAGAAATCATCAGTAGGCAAGTTTCAGAGCAAGGAAGGGTAGAGGAGCCATCAAGAACTCTCAGTCCTGTGTGCACCTCCTGAAGTGGAGAAACTAATGGTCTACTCTGGGTAGACCCTGAGTGGCTTTGGATGAAGTGGATCCAAAGGTAGGTCTGATCAAAGGCAGAAAAGACTTTGTTTTCCTGGTGATCAGAGGATTTGAGAAAAATAGCCTTGGTTTCACTGGGAGAAAATCTAGAAAGAATTATGAATGGAATGTTTGTGCCCAGCCCCCCAATGCATATGTTAAAGCCCTAACCCTTAGTGTGATAGTATAGGGGGAAGACCTTGGGGAGGTAATTAGAGTTAGGGGAGATCATGAGAGTGGGATTAGTGCCCTTATTTTTTTCAAAGATTTTACTTATTGAGAGAGAAAGAGAGAACAAGCAGGAGGAAGGGGCAGAGGGAGAGGGAGAGAGAGAGAATCTCAAACAGACTCTACACTGAGAGCACAGAGCCCTACACAGGGCTTGATCTCACAACCCTGAGATCATGACCTGAGCTGAAACCAAGAGTCAGACACATAAACCACTGAGTCACCCAGGCACCCGCACCCCAGGATTAGTGCCCTTATAAGAAAAGGAGAGACCAGAACGTTCTCTCTCTCTCTCTCTCTCTCTCTCTCTCTCTCTCTCTCTCTCCTATATGAGGACACAGTGGAAAGGCCACCATTTACAAGATGGAAAGAGAGTTTTCACCAGGAACTGAATCTGCTGGTAACTTGATCTGGGACTTCCTAGCCTCCAGAACTATGAGAAATCAATGTGTGTTGTTCAAGTCACCCAACCTATGGTGTTTGTTACTAAGACAGTGTCCATGTGTGAACCAGTAAACAAATGGTGCATAATCCATATTATTTGTCTATCCAGCCTGGGCTCCCACCCACCTATGCTATGTAAGTGTATAGCACTGTGGGAATGCCAAGGGGGAAGGACTGCAGCAGACAGGCAGGGGAGGCCTTGCCCTCAAGGCCGTGGAGCCTAGAGAAGAGCCCTACTGCCCTAACTGGAAGTGTCAGAAGGAGATGCGGAGCCAAACCAGCCTGGAGATGGTCGCTTTGGGAATTGAAAGTTTTGAGCAGAGCTTGGGACAAAAAAAAAAAAAAAAAAAAATCCACCTGTCACTTACCTCACTGTGTTTGGTCTCCCCATATCTGCCATTGGGGTTGGCCAAGTGGCAGTTCTTGTACCACCAGCCACCATGATGTGTCAGGGCACAGTTGCTGAGGGCAATATCATTGTCTCTGTCAAAAGTTGTAAACTTCCATCCATTGTGGTAAGTAAGAGCATCCCCTGCAGGAGAGGAGAGATGAGAGAAGTGAACGTCTAAGTTTTGCCACTGAGCTGGTGAGCGTGCTCTAGATTCAGCAGGACAATCTTAGGGCATGAAAACACCGAGGATCCAGCCAGTGATGTCACAGGTAATCACTCGTCTCTCAAAAGAGCCAAGATGAGAACATGATACAGACGATCAGATTCCCCTTCCTGGCCTGTCACCCAAACTTCGGCCTGTCACTCCAATAGCTTTGAAAGCCTTAACAGCATTCCCACTCTGATGCCCTGCCATCATGTGACGTAATCAAATATCCCAAACCAAATCCATCAGCTCTCCCCACAGTACCTGACCACCCCCCACCCGCAGTAACCCCTCTCCCGTCCTCCCTGTCTGCTCAACCATCCTCCCAGCCACCCAACTTCAAACTCCAAACCACACTGACAAACTTGTATCCTTTATCGAGCCCTTTCTCCTGCAGATCACTCACGGATGCTCTCGCTCCCACAGCTGCCACCCCGGCCTGTCCTCCTCTCTTCAGGTCTATCTCTACACAATGGCCCTCCTGGGGTTGAAGCATACGCATCCACATGCATGATCTCAGACTTAATGTCTTCCTTCCTGCCACAGGAAGAGAAGCTGCTCCTCCTTGCTTGGCTTTGCAGGCCTGTCCCTTGGCCATAGCCTTCGCACAATCTCTGAGCCCACTGTCCCCACAGGCACACAGCAGTTATGCAGTGGAGGGGTCTGTCCTCCGTTTCTCTCTGCCCTCCTCAGTCCAAATCCTGAGCATTCCTCAAAGCCCAGCCAGCCCCCACTCCTGAGGAGGGGCCAGTCTCTTTAATAATCCATCCACACACTCTCCTAGCACGCATGCCTGTTTCCCAAGCCCTCCTGGCACATATGTATAGTTTAGGGCTTTGTGACATCCTGTCTGGAAATCCGCTTGCATCATTTTGCTTGTATCTCTACTATTTCCCCATCATATCTGTCATCTTTTTATCAGTTTTATTTCTTAATTCAGCTCCTAAGAGGTGATAAGGGCCTGTATCAATCCTAAGCTAAGGCAAATCATGTTCCTACAGTAAGAACACTTATGTTTTCGTCGGAGCTCTGAGTTACAGAGCCCTGTAACAGAGTTACAGACCCTTTCCCATACATACCCACCTCTGACCCCCACTCTAGCCTATGAGGTGGTCCCAGGAGGAAATGGACTTACAGAGGTTAGACTCCGGGGACTTGTCAAGGCCCCACTGTCCACAGACAGCAAGGCTGGGACTCAAACCTGGGTCCTCAGATTCCAAGTCCAGAGTTCTTCCCCAAACACCAACTTGCCTGAGGCTTCCTCATTTCTGCCTTTAGTTATGCTAACAAAGAGCAAGCCCACTGCTCTGGTTCTGCAAGTGCGGTCCAGTCCAGGGACCAGCAGCATCAGCACCACCTGAGAACTTGTTAGAAATGCACCTTCTCAGGCCCAGTCTCCCAGTCTGCAGAAGCAGAAACTCCCGAGGTAGTACCCACCTGCAAAGCAATCCGAGTTTTAACAAGCCCTTCCGATGATAAGCCCTTGGGGTGCAAGCAAAAGTCGGAGAACTTTAGTCTGCAACTTCATTTATTCGGGAAACCTCAGAACCCTAGCTGGGCCCCCGCGTCACTCTAGGCTCTGAGAATACAGACAGAGGGCGTCCCTGCTCTGGGGGTGCTGGGGTGCTAAGGGGTAGGTATTAGGGGGTGCTAGGAGGTGCTAGGGGGCAGATCTATGGAAAGAGTTAACAACAGGTTGCAAAATGAGAAGGTCCCAGATTGTCTCTCTGACTTGGCAGCTTAAACAATGGGGCCTGCCGCACCACACCTAGCAAGGCAGCCCCAGCCACTCCTGCTAAGACAGCTGAAGGGCTCTGTCCCTATTTGTTTCCTCCAATTGAGGAAAGGCAAGTCGTCGTCACTGTGTCGCTGTATCGTCCGCATTTCCTCTCCCCTTCGGCTTTCTGGCAGACAGTTAAGTGCAGCTTAAGATAACACATGATGGCTCCCTTGGTGACACATTTAATGAGCACAGCTTACCTACCTTGCATCTAAAGTTCCCAGAGTTGTTTTCCAAGAGTCTGTGCAAAGGCTATTTCTTAAGGATTTGTTTGTGGTTCTCTAACTTTAGGAGCTGGGATCAAGAAAAGTGAAGCAGGTTTCAGGCTAAGTGTGGCAGTCTATTGCACAGATGGATTTTCTCGCTTCCAGGAACTGAAGCCATGCTGACGTTCAGAGCACAGACAGTGAGTATACCCATGAATCAAAAAATCACTTTTCTCCGGTTGTCAGGCCCCCAGCCAACACAGTATTCTGATTTATTAAGCTTATCTCCCTAAGTCAGATGAAGTAGAGAAGCCAGTGGTAGTCAGACCCTCTCTCTTCTATTAGGGTTTTAGGAGAAAACATTGGATGAGAAATAAGTACCCTTAACTTCTAGTATAATGGCTTTAGGTGGGCAGCTGGCTCTCCTCAGGGAGTGAGTTGGAGGGGTCAGTGGCAGGCCCAGAAAAGCCCAGGGTGGGGCCACTGAGCTGGTCATCTCCCATCTCATCTAACATGACTCCAACATCACTCCTGAGGCAGGCAGGAAGGCCCAGACAACTGAGCCCCCACAGACCTGAGGAAGCTATCCACGTCATACATACCCCTCATAAGTCACACAGGACCATGTGTCTGGACCTTGGACCATGGGACTAGGAACAGGCCAAAGAAAGAGTGATGTGTGCCATTTGTGGCTTTCCCTCTTATTCCTGGACGCAACATTTTTCCTCCTTAAGTACCAGTATTGAAAAATCCATTTCAAAGCGAGGAAGGCAATTTTGCATAGAGCAGTTCCTTACTGTGGAAATTTGGCATCCCCGGGCCCCCCCACCCAGCAGGTGCCCACCCTGCCCACTTTGTCACCTCCCTGGTTCTCCTATCACCCAGCTCGGGTGGAGCCCCTCAGTCACGCTTCCAAGTGAGCCCAGGGGGTGGACCCATCCCTGGTTGGGCATCACTGAATCTCCCATTGGTGGGACTTAAAACCAGCTGGAAACGATTGGCAAGCTCATAGAAGTCACTCTGCTCCACCCTAAATGTCTATTTATGATGTCTATCATGATAACTTCTCCAAGAGACGAACAGCACCTTGAAAGGAGAGCCCATTAGCCGTCCTCCCTGCCCCACTCCCAGATTCAGAATCAGAAACTAAATTTATCCAGCATTGCCCTGCTGGGGTTTCCTTCACGGAGGAATGATGGGCTCTCTGCTAGGCATTCAGTGGAGGCAGAAGGTGAGGACCCCCCCTGGACAGGGCGAGTAGCAGAGATCCTTTCTGGCACATTTCCCCCCAGGCCACACATCTCCGATTCTAATCAGAGCCCTAGTGGGGGTAGCTGGCACATGCCCAGAGGTATCAGACTGTTCACCTTCTCTTTGAATGCCACATCCTCTAAACAGTACCTCATCATTTAGGACATGAGAAGCCAGAAGCTTCCTAAATTTCAAAACCCTCCTGGGGACCAATCAGCATACACAAGGAAGGCTAAAACCCCACTAAGCCCACCATGCAACTTCAGCATTTCCAAGCAGGAATGACTGCTCCTGTGGGGAGACCAGATCGTGGGCTGAATGAGCTGTGATCTAAAAGGTCTCCCAAGGCTTCCTAGTAAAAAAAACACATCCTCCACAACCTCAGAATGGGAATTACCCCCTAATCACAGTTAAAATGCAAATAGAGACCTGGGAGGAGAATCACATTAATTCGTGACTCTACTGACTCCTTCTCACTCACTTTCCCATTAGCATCAATGTTCATTTCTTGGTTATTTTAAGACAGGCCTTGGAAAAGCTAAGTGTGCTTGGCAGAGAGAGAATGGGCAGCGCGAAGGCAGGCCCGAGGGGGTGGGTCCCCAGCCAGCAGGTGGGAGGGACGTCACTGTGCTTCAGGGAGAGACAGAGGACGCCGTATCTCACTGAGGAAGGTCCCACAAGGAGCCTCCCAAGGCCGGGACTCTTTAGCCTGAGAAAGGCAGACCAACTGATCACTGGGGTCAGTAGTAAAGAGGAACGAAAGGGATGACCAGATATCCTCCACTTGGACTGAGCAGAGCAGGAGGGGGCCCGTGGGGTCTCAGGGAGACTGCGATGTGTGCACCCCCTACTCCTAATGGTTGGAGCTCCCGGAATCAGCCTTCAGCAACATCATCTGATTTCACCCAGAGATGGGGGAAAGGTAGACAGACTGCACAGTGGTACAAAATAGCATTTCCAAGTCCCCCCTCATTCAGTTTTATCCTTGTAATCCCATGAATGTCCGCCTGTTTTCCCAACTGTATTTTAACTGCCTTATTCCTGTGGCCAACTTTCATGTGTTACGTTGTACTGTGAGTGGATGTAGTGCTACATAGCGAACTTTTAGAAACTGTATATAAAGTAGAAAAGGGCTGCCCAGCCCGTTTCCAGGGCATGGAGACCCAGGACCCCTGAGGAGAGAAGTGACAGTTCTTCTACAGCAGTGCATTTTTCCTCCCAAGGATTGTTCCCTGACATACTTCACACTTCCCTTTGCACACTCCCCTGCCCCTCTGAGCCCCTGAACAATTCTCCAGCAGGTGCCCACCCTGCCCACTTTGTCACCTCCCCGGTTCCCTTGTCACCCAGCTCACACCTTCACTGACCCTGGGGCAAGCTATCTGGGTCTCAGGGAGTCCCCTTTACAGTATAAAACATCTATAAGATTGCACAGAAAGTTCTTGCTAGCAAAATCATGTTTGAAACTCACCTACTCTGCACCAGGGTCCAGGCTAAGCACTGGGAAATAAGAGCAAATCAAAGTTCATGTGATTTTTTTTAAACAATTAAATCATAAGACCTACAAGAAACTTTGCCTTAGCTGTTGGCCACTTCGGATCATGGCCCCAGACACTAAGAGGTGTCTGTTCATGGTCCTCTGCCATTAGGGGGTTCTAGAGTGGCCTCAGGCTTCACAAGCACACTCTCTGCTCAATCTCTGCTCACCATGGACTCTCCCAGGCCTGGGGGCCCCTTCCTTTTTTCCCATCTGAGTCCTACCCTTGCAGACCCAGCTTCAGCCTACTGCCCTCCAGGAAGTTTCCTTCACCTGCCTGGGGCCTCAATGTACCCACTTTCTCACATGCTAGAACTCTTCATTTGCTTCACCACTTTTGTGGCTCTTTGCAAAATTTACTTTTGTGATTACTTATGTGTTTACATGGCAGTCTGAGGGGAGAGATCATGGCCCACATAGTCAGTGCACTACACATTCCTACATAGCTGGTCACCCCAAAGTCAAAAGCACATAGAATCAAACAACAGACTCACTTGTTGGAGGTTCAAAACTATATATACAGGCTTAAAATATGACATTAAAACGGTAACCATCCCGTCCCTCTTAAACAGGATATTCTGTGATATAATCTCAGTATTTCACTCACGTGGCTTGACTTTGTTTTCTTCTTTCACAACTGAACACACTGTCAACCGGCTTATGTCCAATGAGACGCTCATCAAGGTTAGACGTTCCCTGCTTTCAGCTGAACTGCTAACTTGTGTTGTTACAGTAGTACGAAATTAATGAGACCTACACTTCTTGTTTGAATCAGCACTTTCGTTTTTCCCTTTACTTACAGCAAAATGCTGCAAAATATTTAAATAATCACACACACATACACACACACACACTTCTGTGGAAGGACAGCAGCCACATTGCTGGAGCCCAGTGAAAGGCACCAAAAATCACTCAGGATATGGGCTCATTGGCTGATGATGGGAAGTGTAAGAGGAGGGCTTTCACTGGTGAGGGGATCGATGTATAATGTACAAAAGTTCCAACTTTAAGATGGTCAAGGATTGCTTTCACGTCTCTGTTTCCCCCCAACTCCCTGCAGGGAGCATTGATGTCAACCATCAATGAGGACAATTCACCTCCACAGAGCAATATTTCATGCCCCAGATCCATGACATGCAGTGGTCCAATCCCGATATACCCAGAAAGCAAGAGACCTTAGCAGGGGGGATATGTGTTTTCCTACCTGCTGTGCCTCTGTATTTCCCAACTGTGAGCCTGTACCTCTCCTTGCTGGAAGCCACTTGGAATAAATCATATACGGCATAGGCAGATTCATTGGCAGTCTGTAGGTCTACTCTTACTTCATACCGGGTCGGGGTGCCAGTGGTGAGATTGTGTAGCTTGTCAAGTCCTAAAAATAAGGAAGGGAATTCCGATAACCAATCGACCTACACGTGCAAGCACTCACCTACTAGCATCTGAGATTTCCAGCACCCAAGTCACCTTAGCCTCTGCCTCCTCTGCTAATGTGGGCTGTCCTCACACTAGCTCTTTTGGGATGCCTGTTTTCTCATCCTATTATTTCTTTGGCATAGCCATGTTAATGAATGTGGAGACCACGTCCTCTGGGGAGGAGCAATGGAGGGCAATCATGTGGTGAACCTGCCCCTTGAGTCCTCTCTAAAGCAGAAGCACTTCCCAGATCATCCCTGCATCCTGCCAAGTAGAAGAGGACATCGACTACCACTGTGGGGTCACTGAAGGAATTCTGTGCCAAGCAAACCACAAACAACATGTACTCTAGGGGTGCCTTGGTGGCAATGATTGAGTGACTGCCTTGGGCTCAGGTCATGATCCCAGAGTCCCAGAATCGAGTTCCGCATCAGGCTCCCGGCAGGGAGTCTGCTTCTCCCTCTACCTATCTCTCCGCCTCTCTCTCTGTGTCTTTCATGAATAAATAAATAAAATCTTTTTTTTAATCATATACTCTATCAGACACTGGGCCAGGTTATGATTTTTTAATACTTTATTTCCCTACTGAAGTTCTTGGTTATTTCACTCTCTGTGAATATCTGCTCCAGAGTGGAGCAGAAGGAAAAGGAAAAACGGTCCCCATAATGACTGGTATTATTAGTGGAACTGCAGGGATTACAGGCATGCCCTCCTAATAATAGCCCAGAATCCCCATTGGTCAACTATTGTTCTAAGACATGCAGGCTCCAGGCCGATCCTGTGGGGCTTACATGCAGCATAAAGACCACCTGTAATGGCCCCACCCTGTCACAGGCCCAGCACATGAGAACCTTCCCAGAGACCTGACCCCTGACACCTTGCTGGGCAGGTGCCTCCAGGGGTCCAGTCCCTGTCAGTGGGGACATCCTCCTGAAGGTGGTGAGCCTTCTTTCTCAAGTGGCCCAAGCAGCTCTGGGGGTTGCAATACCCCCTCCACAATACAGCCCTCCTAAAATCTCAGAGATCATACCAAGCCAGAACTCCTTCATGGGGTCCCCGAAACCTTCCACGTAGGTGCGCCAGCGCTTGAAGAAATCCAGCTGCCCAGTGTTGCGCCTCTGGAATACCTGCAGAGGGAGACAGAACTTTCATTCTGGCACACCTGAACAGACATGGCTGAGCATAACTAAGTAGACAGGAGCTTGCGGGGGGAGCTGCCCTGAGGCAGGACAGGGGCAGAGAGAAGGTCAAACTGACAGACGTGGTTACAGGTTTAAAGCAGAATTGAAAGAGAGGGCAAAGCCGGGAGTGATCCTTGGGGTTTGGGCTTGTGGCACTGGACGGCTGTCCATTCAGCTCTCACTGAGATGGGGGCTCCAAGTGGAGACAGGTGCTGTGGGTGTGAGCTCACCTGGGATTAGGTAAGGATGAGCCACTCCTGACATAACCCGGTGAATGAAGATGCCATAGTAGTAGCTGGGCGTGAGGGCCAGGGCTCTGAAAAGAGATCTGGGCCAGACTTGCACAGGTAAGCGTGTGTCAGAGATGATGCTAAGCATTCACACCAAGTCCCATTTCATTTTCCTATCCCCAGGAACACTGATAGGAGGAACTCTTCTTTTTTAGGCTCCCTTGCAATGAAGCCGGAGCCATGTGATTCATCCTAGCCAAAGGGCAGGGAGGCAGGGGGGCCCTCCATGCTTTCTCTTCCACTGCCCTATGCCTTGCACCACCCCCCCACTGCCGAGTAGGCCGAGTGTCAACAGGGCAGAACCATGACTTGGAATCACCCTAAATCCCGGAGTCACCACTTAGAAGTGACTGCCACACCACCAAGACTTCGCACACATGAGAAGAAACTCTTTGTGTCTTAGATCATCAGACTTCGGCGTCAGCACACTGCCACAGCATAGCCCCACTCTATCTTAATGAATCCAGAAACCCACGGGGACATAGTAAAGCAAACCCACTGGAGAGGCTGAGACCCCAAGAAGAAAGTGAGAACTAAAAAAAGACCACGGGCTAACATCAAGTCTCCGGACCTCCACTACACCACAGCCAGGTGCAGAGGATGCACTCATGGAGGAGGAGGAGGAGGACGACGACCCAGGTGTGTAGAAGGACACCCAGGAAAACATGGGACCACACAGATAACACAGAGAAAGGTGTGGCCGCTGGTGTCAAAGGCAGGTAACACGAGGCCTAGGAACACGTGTCCATAGAATGTAGTGACACAGGAATCACGAGGGACTCCCGCAGAGGCTGTGTTGGAGAGAGATGAGGGCAGCGGCCGGCGGAAACAGCCTGCAGCGTGAGTGAGAAGGGGGAGCAGATGCAGCCTGGGGTCCCGCTATTTCATGAAACCGCACGCTGCCTCCTTTCCCGAAGCTCCTCTGCTGGGGGGTGGGGGGGAGGCAGTGCCAGTCAGAGCAAATCGGATGCTTTCACATGAGGTAGACCTGAAAAGTACCTACAAGCTAAACACTCCTGTGTATACGACTGGAACTGATAGTAACTGATGTCATTCCTTGTGACCTTGAAAGCCACACACGACACCATCCTAGCTCCAGGCAGAAATGACTCTGGAACTCTGGAAGGCTGGACCGGCATCTCTGTCTCCACCTACTTTCCCTGTACTCCTTCAAATGCAGGAGCCCCAACACACAACTCCACCTCCCTGCTTTCCATCCTGCTTCACAGCAGGTGCCTTGAAGTAAAACACAGTATCTCAAATTTGATAAGGTAAACCTCCCAATATTTGTGCATTTCTATTTTTTTCTGGGAAGAGACGGGGAGGGCGGAGAGGACAGGCTGCGTGCAACAGTGCTGACAGCTCCACAGGGGAGCTCACATTTGACCCCCTTCCGAGGCACAAGCCACCTTCGCTGGCCCAGGAAGCATGGAACTGGGGGCATCCAGGGCAAACCCGGGGCTTAGAGGGTGACCACGGCCACCTGCTGCCCAGCAGCAGTGAGCCACTCCCCTCTATCACCAAGCCTCGGCCAGCTGCGTGACAAACAGTGTTAGAAGCGGGAAGGAAAAGTCCATCTCAGAGGTGCCGGAGAATCAGGGAGAGGGTAAGTGTAAATACGTTCTACAAGGCTACCGAGGTGCTGAGCAGAAGTGAGGGGATGATTGGCCAAGTAATTACCTACTGCCTGAACATCATGGTTTCTTTCCCCCTTTGTCCTTATGTCAGAGACTCACACGCCTCTTTGGCTTCCTTCAGTTCTTCATCTGCTTATCCGCTCATGTAACCACCGTGTACTGAACGGTGTGCTGGCTCCAGGCCAAGTCCCTATGATGCCATTTTACAGATGTGAAAGTGCAGAAAAGCAATTAGCCAGATTAAATAATAATCAGCTGATTCTTCAGTGGCAGATGCAAGGCTAAAACACGGATCTCCTCATCTTTTCATCAGAAAGTTTGAAAATGCCAGCTTTACTGAGTCTATATTCCAAAAATCATTTAAGATTCTGGGGCTACCTGTTCATTTCCTAGCATGCTGCCAACTCCAGTCCCTTCCCCAGGACTCTTCCTTTGACGTCGACGGTGGAATCCCAGGGTACACGCCGCCGTACGGATGTTTGGTTCCTTGTACATCGAGTCCTATTGCGTTCCCACTAACATAATTAGTTATGGTGCAAGGTCAGTCTCAGATCTGATCCTGCCCTCCTGGGACAAGCACTTTACAAAGGCAATATCCAATCAATGATAGGGGTTTGTCCCCCTGATTTTTTTTTTAAAGATGGGTTTATTTTAGAGAGGGAGCACGAGCAGTGGGAGGGGCAGAGGGAGAGAGAAAGAGAGAGGGGCAGAGAAGCTGAGCACAGCACATGATGCAGGATTCGGTCCCAGGATCCCAAGATCATGACCTGAGCCAAAACAGAGTTGGGCGATTAACTGACTGAGCCAACCAGGCATCCCTCCCTGATTTTTTTTTTTTTTTTAATAATCTTCAACTCAGCTAGGAAAACTGTGAACAATGGTTTGTTGCTCTCTGCATCACTATCAAGACCCAGCTCTGCACTTACTAGGAATGTCCTTGGGCAAGTTAGTTAACCTTGACAAGCCTTGTTTTTCTGGACTATTAGATCAAGATGTTAATAGCCCAATTGTCAGGCTCTTAAATCAAGTCTTTAGCAAGATCACTAATCCTGATAAATCATAAAAGTGGGAAGGCCAGAGACTGGCACATGCAGATATAATAAGTTATTATTATATCTCAATAAATGTTAGTTTGTATGTTATTATTTCAGATTCCAAATGAAGTGACCCACCATGATCATTTGTACAACTTGATCAAGCAGACTGATTTGACTCCCTCGGAATCTAGCCCATGCCCATTCTATGCAGTGAAAACACCTTATATGAATTGTGTGGAGTAACAGAAGCCCCTTAGCAGGTACGCCTCAAGGCAGCAGAGTTCTACACTCTAGAGCTGTCACTGCACTTACTCAATGTCCTGATTCCATGAGGAGGAAAAAATGAAAATGTCATTTAAATGCCTGTGGAAAGAACTTCTAATGTAGTCCTTAAGATTTGCAAGATGGAAAACAAAGATGGAAAGGCTTGAGGCCCTTAAACATTCCCATATGGTCCTCAGTCTGGTCTGCCCCCTGCGGCATCAATTACCTCAGAGTTGGGTTCTTCTGGCCTCTTCATCACATTGGGTTCGTGCCACTCCATAGAGAAAATTTTCCTTAAAAGGATTTTAGAAGCTCCATTTAAAAGAGCAATGTACTGGGGTGTCTGGGTGGCTCAGCCAGTTAAGTGTCTGACTCTTGGTTTCAGCTCAGGTCATGATCTCAGAGTCATGAGATCAAGCTCTGCATGGGGCCCTATGCTCAGCAGGGAATCTGCCTAAGATTCTCTCTCTACCTTTGCCCCTCCTTCCATTCATGCTCACTCTTTAAATAAATAAATAAATAAATAAATAAATAAATAAATAAATCTTTAAAAAAAATAAAAGAGCAATGTACTAAGGTCATTTCTCAGTGGCAAAAGACTCTGGAGCCCAAAACCATTGAAACCATTAGTAAAAGATTTGGTGTAGAAGTTTTCAGGATTCTGCTTGTTTTCTGGACTGTGACAGCATTGAGGAGAACCCTACAGAATCTCAGTTCATGTACCACCTTAAGGAGTCTAGGTCAGAAAACAAGACTTGGGATGGGGGTGAGGGACTGGTGTTGGTTAGAACTCAGAGTGATTTGAATATTTTTGGAACTGACCTCAGTGTCTGTGAGCAGGTTGGAGAAGGCAAGCTCCTTGAGGGCAGGGATTTGGGTCTGTTTGGTTCACTGCTGGCTCTTGAGTATATAAAACACTGCTTGACATATAGTAGGCACTCAATAAATATTTGTGAAAAAAGCTGGGATATTCCCAGGCAGGCAGACTGGCAGGTATCTTTCTAGAGGTTGCCCTAGTCAAGCGTCTCCTTCCCTAGGGGAGGCTGGCTTTCAAAAACGGCCACACCAGACGAGACTAACCTTCTGCCAATGGTCAGGTATGGGCACAAGGCAGGAAAGTGGCTTCAAGCCTGAAGAGATTGAATGCTTAGGAGAGTTCTGATGAAAAGCAGTGGGTACAGCCCTATGGGTCTGCTCAGGTGGGAGCCCCTCCCATGTTATATTCTGTTTAGTTATTTTTATAAATCAATCAGGAATTTCCCCCACCCAGTCCAGTTCCTGCCTTTCAGCCACCAGATGCAGCTGTGCGAATAATAAGTTTTCTTCACCGCTGCTTCTCAGATGGGACCATTTTATCCGCGGCTGCTCCAATGTCTTTGGTTTCTCAGGCCCCTGAGCGAACGTGTAAATGAATGTAGTTTGAGTACGGGGAGCTCATGCTTTCTCCTCCCCACAATGAGCTGTGGATGCACAGCAGGTAAGGCCTCATGCTGGTTCGGAGATGGTGAAAGCCTCTATCCATTCAGGCACAGGAGAAGGCAGTGGGGGGAGAGGGGATCAGATTGCAACCCTCAAAGGCAGCTCATCATATAATTGGATCAGGGTGATGCAATCAAAGTAGGTGCCATGTGGTGTAAGCAGACAATGGCCCAAGGGAATAAAGCGGTGTCCACACAACAGAGAGACCACCAGCGCACTGCCAAGGTTCCCTCTTTCAGGCTTTAGTCTTTCAAACTAGAGTTTTGCTTCTGAACTGCAGAGAAGGATGCAGAACTGAGACAAAGGGCTTCAGTATGGAGGCCTGAGGCCCAAAGAGGTCATGTGTTTCCATCTTGGATGGGTCGAGAGGACCCTCAGAGAAAACCAATGACCTGGAAGGCTGGAGTCCTGAAACCTGCTCCCAGCTTTTGTCATTAATTCTTTCAAACTGCCAAGGCACTTCTCCCTGTGAGCCTCAATTTACCTATTTATAAAATAGAAATAATGACCTCTGTCACTTACTCAAAAAGTTCTGTGTGAGAGTCGTGTTTATGACAGAGCGTGGGAAGAGCAGAAAAATATAGGTGATGCATACACAGTGGGCATTATTAGATGCTGATAAGCCTATGGGCTCCACAACCATTAACCTTTGTAGGTGTGAAGCACCTTCAGGCTCTGTTCTTACAGCAGGGTGGGCTGGGGGCAGGCTGGGATCTCTCTGAAAGCAAGGGTGAGCCACCACAGCTCCTATCTCCCCTGGATAAAGACTCACAATCCAGCCGCCTCCATCCGTGTCCATGTCGCAGTACACCTGCAGGGGCCGGCTGGCGTCACCATGCAGGTAGATGGTGTATAGACCGCTGACAACATTGCTGTTCTGTTGAACTTGACTGCAGTCTGAAGGATGTGGAAAGCGGGCACCAACTAGGAATCCAGCAGAGAGGTGGTGTCATTAGGAGAAGGGCAAGGAAGAAGGAGAGGGACTTGTCTTCTATTTTTGAGATCCTTTATTTTGTTCAGAAATTATTTCATAACCTCCTACTACATTGCTTCCTCCAACTCCTCAGTGAGATCTTATGTTTCTCATTCACCCTGCTGTCACCAAACCCTTCCGATATACTAGAAATAAGCTCAAGCTCACATCACTTCCTGCTGCAACTCCCACAGAAGAACATCCTGTTCTGCTCCCCTTTTTCTACCATGAGATGGACTTCATTTGAACCCCTAACTCTATCCCTAGGACCCCATTTCTAAAGGAATCCATCACTCTGTCCACCTACTCCTCCGTGGACACTTTGCCGGGCCCTCTAATGCTTGTCCTCTACCATGTTCTAATAGACACCTTACCTGTGGAAAGGGTGGTGGAGACACTCCTGCTCCGGCGATCACCCTTAAAGGCGATCAAGGAGACAGGGTAGGTGATGCCCTGCTCAAGGCCTTGCAGCTCGAGCCTCTCATCCCCTCTTCCAAGCTGTATCTCCTACCAAACAAAGGAGATAGTAGACAGTCAGTGTGTCACCCTAGTGCCCTAGGGGTGAGTCAACAGCATTCCCTGGTACTAAGGACAGACGTTCTCTGAGATGATGATGTTTTGTTTCTTTGAGGGCTTGGTAGCACTCAAGTGGGTCCCAGGAGCTTCCCTGGAGGTGGTGCCATGGAGAGTCAACCTGCTGGAAGCACCAGCAGAGAGCCAGCAAGAGGTCCTGCCCCTGGGGGAGCCCCCACCAGGTCTCCTGGGAACCTCAGCCTCCAGATGCATGCTGGGACACCAGCTACAGCCATCAAGGCTGGCAATGCTGGGCTGACAAGCCAACAAGGGAAATAAAAGTGACCGCTGATATGCAAAGCAGGCCAGAAGTGGCCTCTCAATACTTCCTTCAGAACCTATCTTATTTCCTCTACAAACACAGGGCTAACTTTCCTTGGTGAGCTGGCATAAGCAATCACTGAGATCATAAATAAATCAAAGCGCCCTTCCTTTTCCCTTTCCTCCCTTCTTTCTTGCTGAGAAGAAAGAAGAATTTTCTATCAGAACAAGTTACAAAAATGTGCTGGCCCTTGGATTCCAGGTGGGAGGTATAACTCTTGATATAAGGGTTAATCAATTCATTCAATAAATATTTACTGAGCACCTCTTGTGTGCCAGGTTCTAAGCATTTTCAATATACAGTGATAGATAAAAAAGACAAAAAGTCCTTGTCCTCATGGAGCTAATATTAATTGGGAAAGACAAAATAAAAAAAACAAAATGGGACAGATGTGTGGCCAGCAAATATGCAATGGTCAGCTAGGAGCGGGCACAAAGGTTAGTCTTATGAAATGAGGCCACATGTATGATGTCAACAAGTAACTGCGTAGCACCTTCCCTTACCACAGCAGATGATCACCAAGGATCAGCTCATTTTTCAGCAGGTCACCATCATACTGGCATTCAAGCTGGGGGGCCCAAGTCACCTGCTTCATACAGAGGTGGGACATGGGTACCAAGAGGAAAAACCAAGAAGTTTCCAGTACCTTAATGGTGCCATCTGGGAATTGGTAGGTGAGAATGTAGCCATCAATCTGAGCAGAGGGGGATGTCCAGGTCAACACCCCTCCAGACTGTGTTATAGCAGATGGACGAAGGTTTTTGGGAGGGTCGATGTCTGTATATAAAAGGCCAGATAATTTTGATTACTAAGTATTATTCCAACGAGGGCACGATCATTTTTGATGTGTTAACATTTTTTTTTTTTAGGATTTTACTTATCTATTCATGAGAGACACAGAGAGGGGCAGAGGCAGAGACATAGGCAGAGGTAAAAGCAGGCTCCCTTTGGGGAGCCTGATGCAGGACTGATCAAGTCCAGGACCCCAGAATCATGACCTGAGCCAAAGGAAAATGCTCAACCACTGAGCCACCCAGATGCCCCAACATATTTTCTCCCTACTTCTCCTCCCATTTCTTTTCCTCCTGTCCAGCAAGTAACAGTTTCCTCCTGTCTGCTCTTCCTTGCCACCAGCCCCTTATGACCCTTGTTTCCAAAAGCACACACCGACTGAGAACAAGGGGATTAAAGAGGAAGGGGTTGAGTGGGTGCAGATTCTCCAAGAATGATGGGTATGAGCAATCTAGAGTAGCAGAGGAGTTCTCAGAGATGGCAGGGTTCCCAAAGGGGCATGGGATACTGAGAGAATGCAGGTCTGAAAAGGCCCTGAGCCCAGAAACCAGGGATCTCAGCAAACACCTATCTGGAAAGATGATCCAACTCCAGGCATTCAGCCTGCCTCTCCATGCTTAGCACTGGAAACTCCAGGACTGTACACACAGCCCTGGTGAGGGAGCATGACCCTCAATTTGCTGAGATTCTGACCAACACGAAGAATGTAATAAACATTAAGTTCGCATAGGAATATAAAGTTCTATCTGCTACATAACTAAATATATGGCCTTAGATGTATATGCTGTACAGAAAGCCTAGGGAAGCAGTGGGGTGCTTGTGAAAAGGAGAGAAAGAGAGGAAGGAAGGAAGGAAGGAAGGAAGGAAGGAAGGAAGGAAGGAAGGAAGGAAGGAAGGAAGAGAAAAGAAAGAAAAAAAGAGAAAGAAAGAGAAAGAAAGAAAAGAAAGAAAAGAAAAGAAAAGGGAGGGAGGGAGGGGGAGAGGGGAGGGAGGAAAGCAGATCTTTTTCCTCTGACCCTGAATACACGGGTGTGTGCGTGCATTACTGTAGACCAAGGAAACTAAAGCTCAGCAAAAATTCTAGTCAACACCATATTAATTGGTCAGATGTCTCATTTTTTTTAACCAAATAAGATATTGAATGAAAATTTCCATTTTGAAAAATCATCACAGAAGATGATTTTAATTTAGAAGTTCCCAAAAAAGATGTCTCCAAGCTATTTTCTACCCAGTAGCATTTCAGCTGAGAACAGAATTGCAATATTTTAATAGAAATCAGGCAGCTGTTGTTTTGAATTAAGATGTTTTGACAAATTCTGAGTTTCGGTAATATCAGCTTGGTCTGACTTTCTAAAGCGTAACATCTGGTATGGATCTTCTTTCCATCACACCACAAAACTGAATTTCCTGATTTCAAAAATTAAGCAAACCCTTAACTATTTAAATATCTTAAGCTGGCCTCCACTAGCTCTTTGCCGACCAAGTCCCTGGTTATGGGCTTGAGAGCTCTGTCTTGGTTACTTCCAATTTCTGTGCAGCAGAAAGATGCTAACACTGTTGTCTTTAAAAATGGCAAGAGTGAAGCAAAGAGAAGATAATGAGGGAGCAGACAAGGAAAGAACAGGGGAGTAGGAGAGAGGGAGGGAGGGAAGAAGGGAGGGAGGGAGGGACTGGTTGCCTCTAGAGAACTGCACTGGCTATTAGGGAGTCTGGGGCATAGAAGAGTTTTTCTTTCTACATACCTTTGTTTAGTTTGAAAATTTTTACTACAGGTATACTTTACTTTTTTAAATTAAAAAACCCCTGCTGATTGTAACTGATAAAGAAATCCAAGGCCCATCTAACTCTGGTGGCCACACGTGGTATAGCCGGCCACAAAGAAGATGGCCAGGCCTTGCCCAGACTGTTCCAAGAGACAGGATGAGGATGTCAGGGTGGGCACAGTGAGCTTCCCGGGTCCCAGTGAGGGAGATGGAGGCAGAAGAGCTTCCTTGCCTCTCTCTTCTCCAAACTGGAGCTGGGGCCAACCAGGTTCTGACCTCTAGGTGGAGAGCCTGCGAGCTGGGCAGGGTGGAGGGGATGGTGAGAGAGGCTACTTGTGCATAACCACCTGGAAGAGCCACACGGCTTTACTTTCACATGGTCTCCTCTACACTCTTCTTCATCAAAACTGTCACACCCGCCTATTACCTCAGAAAGGTAAAGAGGAAACCACTCTGGGGAATGGCCTTGGGTGAAACAGCTGCCCTCCCTGGTCCCCTCGGCATCCCAGGGATGGAGGAAGACTGTTCTGATGGATGCACAGGGTTTCTAGTCCCAGTACCTGTCAGGGCCTTGGTGTCAGCCTTCTTGCTCTTCCGGGCCCCCTTCTGGGCCCACACCTGGACCGTGTACTCCACACCTGGCCTCAGGCCCGTCAGAACAGTGCTGCTCTGCTCCTTCCCCACTGGAACCTCCCTGGTGTCCCCAAGAGCAGATGTGTAGCGCACCATGTACTTGTCGATGACCGCTCGCACCGGGTCCCAGGAGATGGTGGCCGTGTCCTCTGTCACCCGGTTGGTCACCAGGTTTTGGGGGCTGTCAATTTCTTTTTAAAAAGGAAAGGCCAAATTTTAGAACTGAGAGAGGCCATCCCATCACCCCATCACCAGGAGCTCTCCATCCAAATTATCTTTAATAACAGTATAATTCCATTGAAAACAAGAGTGGAAGGCCCTGGTTTCCATTTTCCAGGGAAATAAACCACTGGGTATCACAACTGGGAGGAATTAGGTCTTTGTCAAGTTCATCAAGATGGAAATTTTCTGACTCTCTAGTTTCCACAGAAGTAACAATAAAAGTCTCCTGAGCAACAAGATAAGCCGCCCAAATTGCTGTTGAAGAATCTCCTCTTATTATCTCTGTGGTATCTGGTTATTTTGCTTCACAGAATCTCAGAGGTGAAAAGAAAAAAAAAAAAAAAGAATCTCAGAGGTGAGAAGTCAGATCTTCTGACTCTCTTGCCTTTTATAAAAGGGGAAGAGAAGGGAGGCCCAGAGAAGCGAAAAAGACTTACCCGAGATCCTGCTGTTCCCTTGTGTTAAAACCCAGACAGGCCCTACTTTGCTCTGAATTGCATCTTCTGAGGGACTTTGCTCCTTTTCATCTGTGTGCTCTCTGGCACCACCGGGCTCCTCCTCTACTGTCATTCCCAGACTGCAAGCTGTAGGACCTCCTGCCCCTCTGCACCCCTTAACTGACAGACTTCTCATACCTTCCCTTCACTCCTCCCCTCCCATTCAACTCTTCCATTCAATGAAGTTTGGCACTTTTCACTAAAAGCACACCACTAAAGCCTCCCATATATGTCACCCCCAACTTCACATCGCCAAATCCAATGCACGCTCGTCATCCTCACCTCACTGGACTTTTAGCAGCATTTGGTAGAGTTGATCCACTCCCTTTGTCTTAAAACACTCTTGGCTTCCATGACTACACCCTCCCCTGGTTTTCTCCTAACTGCCTGACTCTTCCTCTGTCTCCTTGGTTAGCAACCTGGAAATGAGCCTCCGGTGCCCCCTCTTCCTCTCTCTACACTTCTCCCTAAGTGACCTCATCCATGTCCATGGCTTTGAATACCAACCGATGCTCTCTTCTCCCCAAGACCTGAGCCCCTGGCTTGCATCTGCAACTGAATATCCACCACAGCATCTCATAGGTACTGGACACTTGACCAATATTTATAGAATCAATAAATAAATCACTCAAATGACCAAGGAATTTCACAGGTTTCTCCAGTTCAAATGTCTAAAAGCCTTAACATTCCTCCCTGAGCCTATTTATCTCTTAGTCTCCCCTCTCAGAAAATGTTGCCCCAACTTTCCATGTTGCTCGAGCCAGAAACACAGGTCATACCTGATTCCCTTTCTTCCTGCCTCACATCTCATCAATCAGCAAATACTGGCATTCATATATCCAAAACCTGTACCCAGGTATCCCCCCCCCTCCTCTTTCCCAATGGCCGTCACCACCTCTTGCTGGATTTTACACTGGACTCTTCCTTCACTAACCTTCCTAGCGCTACTCCTGTTATGTCCTCCACTAATTCTCCTCACTGTGGCCTGAATAATCTTTTTTAAACATACCACATCATGTTGCTCTTCTTCTAATAAATACAACACACTCTCCATTGCAGACACCATGTAGTCCTGTGTGAGTGACTGGCTTCCTTCCCACCTCACTCCAAGCCACTTCCTCTCTCACCCTCTCTGCCCCAGCAACACCAGCCCCCTCACAGCTCTCCAGGCATCTCAGCTGTTTCTGCTTAGAGCTATCAAGCACCCCCTTCCCTCTGCCAGAAATGGTGAGTCTTCCCTAATACTCATTCTCCCCTTATTCCATAAGCATACTATCCAATGGATCTCTCTGTAATGATGGAAATACCCTGCACTGTCCAACACAATGGCCATTAACCAATGTGGCTACTGACCACTTGAAATGTGTCTAGTACAACTCTGAAAATCATTTAATTACTTTTAATTAATTAATGTCTAAATAGCCACATGAGGCTAATGGCTACTGTGTTGAACAGGGCAGTATAACAGAAGTGTAGGCTAGGCACATGATCACCCAGCTGAAGACCTCATTCACCAGCCTTTCTTGTAGTAAAGTCTGGCATTGCATCTTGGATCAGGCCAGTGGAATGTGAGAAGAAGTGAAGAACATGTGAAATGTTCCAGTCACACCCTTCCCTTTCCTCTACCAGAATGTGGGTGGAGGATGACCATGTAGATGGAGGCCACTCCCTAGGGATAACTGAACAGCAAGAAGGAAGGAGCCTGGCTTTCCTGTGCCATGGAGCTCCCCAGTCAGCCTTGGCCTACTTACCCTCTGGCCAGTCCACAGACGAGAATAAATTTCTTTCTTACTTAAGCAAATGTTATTTGGACGTTCTTAGCGATGTATGTCCCTTTGCTTCCAAGAAACATCCCTACCCTATTATTCTTTCTACCTGTACCATGTTCATGTCTGTCACAAAACTTACTACAGTTTACAGTTATAAGTTTGTTTGCTTGTTGATTGTCTAGCTTTCCCACTGGACTTTAAGAGAGTAGGAATCATATTTGTCTTGTTTGTCACTGCTTCCCAGGTCTGGCTTTTGGAAGATGCTCATCAAAACTTAGCTGCCTACTGAAATAGACACAGAGCTCCAACCTGTCAAGGCAACACTTGCTCCTCAAAACTACATAGCATCTATTAAGACCAACCTACATAAAACAGCTTGTCACAAAACAGCTCCTAATCCAGTGTTTTTAGGAATTTTATATTGGCTTTACCCTATTCCCTATAATCTGTTACCACTGAGAGGCACAGCAATTAAAACAGGCTTGGGAAGAGAGTTTTAAGACCTTCACAGGACGGCTCAGTGTGGAGTCCATAACCGCACTTGGATTTTTCTTTAGGAATAAAGTTTTTTTACAGCAACTTTCCTAAAGTAGTCCCTGAGTCACCAACCCCAAAAGCAGCAGGGGCATAACTAGCAGAGACAGATCAGCCCAAAGTGATGACCCTAGTTTCTTTTCTCCTCCGTCCTGTTACCTGTTGGTGCCTTGGTGTCAGCCTTCTTACTCTCCCGGGCCCCCTTCTGAGCCCACACCTGGACCATGTACTCCACACCTGGCCTCAGGCCCATCAGGACGGTGCTTCTCTCCTCCTTCCCCACTGGAACCTCCCTGGTGTCCCCATCAGCAGATGTGTAGCGCACCATGTACTTGTCGATGATGGCCTGCACCGGGTCCCAGGAGATGGTGGCCGTGTTCTCTGTCACCTGGTTGGTCACCAGGTTTTTGGGGCTGTCAATGTCTAAAAAGAAAAGTACTGATCAACATGCACTATTAATAGGCCCCAGAGTATAGGACCTCATGGTCATTTTGCTTGGGGTGGGACCCTTTCATGTTTTATGGTTTCTCCATCACCTATCCTCTAACTACTTCATGAGGTACATCTTCTCTCCCCAGACAGACTTTGGCTCCTCAGGAAGAAAGCACAGTAAACCAAAATCTGCAAATCTAACTATTACCTCCGCCAAGGGTTTAATAAAACAAATTCCATCATTTATTTAGTAAGCATATGTCAAACTCCTTCCATGTACAAGGCATGGTGTTAGGTAGTGTGTAGGGTTAAAGAAGACACAATCCATGCTCACAAGCAGCAATAATTTTTTTTCTAGCATCATGTCAATGAAGACTTCTGATTTCATAGAAGATGATTCTAATAGCCAGATGCAAATGTCAGCTCACAGAGGAAGAGGGCTATCTCCCATCCTCTGGAGTTCCCACAGCCTCTTAGAGAACAGAGCACATGGCAAATGCTCAGCACACCTTGTTAAATGAATCAGCCAAAATAAAAATCAGTTTTAATATGCTTTACATATTGTAGATTCGCTTGTAGTGCTGGTTTGCTGGTTAAATCACTACAGAAATATAGCCATACAGCTCTTTCACAATAAAATTAGAATAAAACATAGAAGTTATCCTTACCCTTAAAACCAGAATTATCATGATTCATTCATGCTAAATCCATTCATGCTAAAGCACACACATATGTCTACTTGCTCTGGTAGCCATAAAGTCTATTTTTCAAAGTTGAATTTTCAACATATTATTATTAATACTAACATTTAACTTTCATTTTCTGTTCCTACTGAAAACATGGTGAGAGACCCTTAACACTGTCCACAATGAAATATTCATGCACTCAGATAAGGAGTCCCCGGGCATGACCATCCAATTATGGCAAAATTGTAGCTTGAAACTGCCACAAGACCTGACTTGTGAGGAAACCAGTTAAAGGGAGGTAAGGGACAGTGTGTGCAGTCACTTATGAGGGGACACTATCCTGTTCCTCCATAAATCATCTAGTCTGCTAGTGTCAAAGCAAGAAATCAAATTTGATCAGCCATAGGTTTAGGTTTTACATTCTCAAAGAACAATGTTCCATTACCTGTTGGGGCCTTGGTGTCAGCCTTCTTACTCTCCCGGGCCCCCTTCTGAGCCCACACCTGGACCATGTACTCCACACCTGGCTTCAGGCCTGTCAGGACAGTGCTTCTCTCCTCCTTCCCCACTGGAACCTCCCTGGTGATCCCATCAGCAGATGTGTAGCGCACCATGTACTTGTCGATGACCGCTCGCACCGGGTCCCAGGAGATGGTGGCCGTGTCCTCTGTCACCCAGTCAGTCACCAGGTTTCTGGGGCTGTCAATTTCTTTTAAAAAATATTTGGAAAAGCCTAAGCTTTGAAGCCATGGGAGGGATGCCCACCACCCCATCACTGTCACTTTTATCTTCTAGAACTCTCTTAGCACAAGGCAATGGTATTAATGGTATTCCCATCCAGAATCTGCTGGTGGCCAAGGGACAGGGTAACCCCCGGTTCCCAATTTCAAAAGACCACTCATTGTAAACTTAACATACTTTCTTGGTGTTCAGCTCCCTAAAATGTGGGAGGAATGACATCTTTGTTTAGCAACATTAGGCACATCAAATAAATCACTGAACATCTGCCACAACGTTCAGGGTACCCAATTTATCCTTTTATCAAGGGCTACTTCATGAGCAACCATTCTCAGAGGATTATCATAAGCACTGGAATGGTCAGAGCCTATAAACATCTTTGCTGAGTCCGCTGAACACACGGCCACTGCACAACTTTACTTCTCCTTCCAGTGGACTGAGTGGTATGGTGAGTCGCTCACCAGCATCAGGCAGGGACAGCTACCAGCTATCAGCTCATGGAGATCACTACTGGAACTCACTGTCTTTTTTGCTCTTTAGGACTTTCTTTGCAAGGTCTCTCATGTCAGGCCACATCTTTGGCTCTAGGCACACTCAGAATCCACACACTCAAAATTCAACTCTGATTAACCATTTTTTTCTTGTTACCTGTTGGGGCCTTGGTGTCAGCCTTCTTGCTCTCCCGGGCCCCCTTCTGGGCCCACACCTGGACCGTGTACTCTACACCTGGCCTCAGGCCCGTCAGGACAGTGCTGCTCTGCTCCTTCCCCACTGGAACCTCCCTTGTGTCCCCATCAGCAGACGTATAGCGCACCATGTACTTGTCGATGACGGCCTGCACGGGAGTCCAGGAGATGGTGGCCGTGTCCTCTGTTACCCGGTCGGTCACCAGGTTTGTTGGGCTGTCAATGTCTGAAAGCAAGGTTAAAGTGCACCATTAACAAGCACCAAAGAATTAGATCATGTTGCTTGGAGGGAGGCAGTTTCCTGTTCTTCTGTTTTTCCTATCTCCTATGTCAGTTTTCAGTTATTTCATGGATGTAGACCCTCTCTCCATGGCTAGACTCTTGGATCCTCAAGGAGGCAGCACAAGACAGTAGGATGAGCACTAGTATCCAGACTCAGAAGAGCAAAGTTCAAGTTCTAGCCCAGATATGTAGAACAGAGGTGCAGGAAAAGCCCTGAGCAGAGCCAACAGTCCAGGGGTCTAGGCCCAGCTCTGTCTTCAGCCAGCTGGGCCCTGGACAGGTGGCTCTACTGCCTCTAGCTGAGCCTGGGTTCCTTCTTTATAAAATGTGGGCCTTACTATATAGATACTAAGGTACCATAATATTCCACGAATATTCTACAAATCTGACTTCATGAATCATCAACTAATTTCATATCTTATAAAAATTTATTCACCTTTCTGCATTTGAGTTTTCTCAACTATAAAATGGGGATATTTATCCCTGCTCAACCCATCTCACCAAATGCCTCTGAGGACCAAGTAAATGAGGAATACAACCCTTATTCATTGCTGGTGGGTATGATAAATGGTGCCACAACTCTGGAAACAATTTGGTCATTCCTCAAAAAGTTAAACATAGAGTTACCATATGACCTAGCAATTCCACTCATAGGCATAAATCCCAAAGAATGTCCACACAAAAATCTGAGCACAAATGCTCATAGTATCCCTAGTCACTATAGTCAAAAAACAGAAACAACCCAAATGCTCAAGTTACAAATAGATAAACACAATGTATTACATCCATACAATGGAATATTATTTGGCAAGAAAATAAAGTGTTGACACATGCTACAACATGGATAAACCTTGAAAATATTCCATGTAGTTAATAAAGCCAGTCTCAAAAGGCCACATGTTGTATAGATCCTTTTATATGAAATGTCAGAACCAGGAACTCTTATAGAGATAAAAAGTAGTAGTTTCCTAGGGCTGGGGGAAGTAGGGATGGGGAGGGACTGCTAATGGGCCAGGGGTTTCTTTTCAGAAATCTTCAGTAATGAAAATCTTCTGAACTAGTAATAGATACTAGATACTAGTAATAGTTGCATAACTTTAAATATACTAAAAACCATTGAAGTATATGCTTTAAGAGAATATATTTTATAGAAAGTAAATTTTATTTCAATAAATCTGTTCTTTAAAAAATGAGAAGGGGCCCCTAGGTGGCTCAGTTGGTTAAGTGTCTGACTCTTGACTTCAGCTCAGGTCCTGAACTCAGGGTTGTGAGATGGAGCCCCATGTCAGGCTCCATGCTGAACGTTTGGTCTACTTGAAATTCTCTTCCTCTCCCTCTGCCCTTCCCCTCACTCTCTCTCATGAGTTGAAGGTGGGCTCCTTAGTTTCAGATAACATGTAAAAGGGAGGTGAAGGGTGGTCTGTGCAGTCTCTTAAGAAGGGACACCATCTTGTCCTTCCATAAATCATCTAATCTGCCAGTATCAAATCAAGAAAATAAAACTTGACCAGCCATAGGTTTTGGTTTTACATTCTCAAAAAACAATGCTCCATTACCTGTTGGGGCCTTGGTGTCGGCCTTTTTGCTCTCCTGGGCCCCCTTCTTGGCCCACACCTGGACCGTGTACTCCACACCTGGCCTTAGGCCTGTCAGGACAGTACTGCTCTCCTCCTTCCCCACTGGAACCTCCTTCGTGTCCCCATCAGCAGATGTATAGCGCACCATGTACTTGTCAATGATTGCTTGCACTGGGTCCCAGGAGATGGTGGCTGTGTTCTCTGTCACCCGGTCAGTCACCAAGTTTGTTGGGCTGTCAATGTCTGAAAGCAAAGTTAAAGGGCACCAAACAAGCACCAAAGATTAGACTATGTTGCTTGGAGGGAGGCAATTTCCTGTTCTTCTGTTTTTCTCATCTCCTATGTCAGTTTTCAGTTGTTTCATGGACATACACCCTCCCTCCGTGGTTGGACTCTTAGATCCTCAAGGAGCCAGCACAAGAAGGTAGAGAACTAAGTCCAGAGTCAGAAAATCTGTGGCCCTGCACATCTCAGCTGCTTCTGGTTGGGCCTTGGTCTCATCATGTATGAATCTGGGGTTTAGGTTGGACAGCCTTTAAAGTTCCTTTGAGTGCTAATGTTCCATACATACATCTAATTTCATAAATTACTAATTGGTCTCATGACCTTGGGTAAGTCATCTCACTTCTCTACATTTATAAAATAGGACCAGTAGTTATTGTACATATCTCACTGTCATCTGAAAACCCAGACAAAAAAGTATAAAAAGAGACATTGAAAATATTGAATATTAGTGTCTGTAGAAAGAAGTGGCAGAGGAAGATGTTAGTGTATACCTCAGAGACCTGTTATACATCAAATGAGTTAATAATATGCCCTTTAAAAAAATAATAATATGCCCTTTATGACAATTTTTGGCACAGAGTAGATGCCCAATGACCATAAGTTATTATTAATGATATAACTTTGTTGATACTTTATGAATGAGGATTATGCTCCTCCATACCATGCACAGAGAAGGTGTTCAAAAATGTAGTCACCAAGAAAATAATAGCATGTCTTTGTTCCAAATAGTTCATTGCAAAAGTCATTTCCCTAAAATCCTTGCTTCTAAGTCCTGTCACAGATGTGCAACAGTATGTTCAAGCAGGATTCTCTTATCTTGGTTTGAGTTATGACCCCCAAGAAAACTGGTATCTACATTCCAACCTGAGAGCCCACAGCCAAGGCAGGGTCAACAGTCTTGTGGCCCTTAGCTGACCAACCATCCCTTTCATAGGTTGGGGAGGCCAAAGAGATGGGACTTCAAGAGTGGATTTCTTTAGGCAGAGTTATACTGTGAACTTCATGGGTGGAAACCCAAACCTCGAGTAAGCAATTGGAATGGCATCCCTCACAGACCTGGTTATGCATACCCTGGAGCAAATGTTCTTGACCAGGAATGATTGGCAATGTCTCAAGACCAACTTTGTTGTCACAATTCAGTGTGGGATAGGGAGGCTCCTGGTGCTTAATGGGTAGAGAGGCCAGGAATGCTGTTAAACAGCCTACAGTGCACAAGACGGACCTTGGCAACAGAGAATTATCCAGCCAAAAATTCCAATAGTGCCAAGATTGAGAAACACTGCCCACAGCCTGGGGACCACTGTGGGCTGGTGTCTGACATGTGCCTAAAATATCTAAGAGGTGAGAAAATGGCCATTTGCTCTAATGCAGATCGGTGAGACGCTGCAGCACTGCAAAAGAACTGAACATCTGGTTGAAAGAACAAATGGTGCATGCATGCTCCCTGTGGGCCCGATGTGGGCCAGGGAAAGAAGAGCCAACTTTGGATTGTTTTAGAAGCTGTCCAAGAGGCTCACCCAGAGGGATGAGGTGGACCCAACCAGAAAGGCACTGGAGTCACCCCACATGTGCAGACAGGACGAAAGGGAGCAAATGACTAGCAGGAGAGATGCATCTGCAACAGGATCATTACAATGAAGGACTGGAGTGTAAGAAAGTCTCTGAAGAACATGCAGAAGTGCTCCATGAGGGGACACGTTAGCTTTAACACACATCAGGCCCCACAGCAGGCCCAGGGCAGCTGTGACAGTTATGGTCAAGTAAGACCCCTTAGCTCTCCTCCTCTCCTCTCTCCAAGTTGTGCCAAACATAAATGGGTCAAAAAATCTCAGTTAGTATGCTGGAAGGAAGGGGTCTAAGCACCAGAAGGGAAAGCAAAGAGGAGCCGAACACACCCCTTTCAAATGGTGGGCACTTAGCCTGCCAAGGGCCTGAGCTAGTGGAGTGGAGAAGCTTGAACTTTAAATGAAGTATTGATAGAGATATTTTAATTACTAAAATGATACATATTGGGGACTAAAGTGATCAGATATTGCTTATTTTTAGCTAACAAAACACTCTCATTATTTCTGCCTAAACCATTCATCCAAAAGAGCAGAAACAAAAAAACAAGCTCCACAGAAAGGGTTTAAACAGGGGAGGAGGGAAAGCAAAGTAGGTTTGGATTTACAGTTAGGCTCCCTCCCCCAGGACAAGCCCTCCTGCTTTCAATCACATTTACTCCTCACCAGGTAAAGCATTCAGCATGTTAACAACACAGAAGATGCACATGCAGAGAACAAAGGAACGTGAGGAATAAGATCAGCTTTTAAAGACCTACGCTGGAGACAAGACAAGCTATGCATTCTAAGAGAAGCCATGAAATAGAAGTAAGGGGGACACAGTGGACTCTGCAAGGACACCAACCTGCATTTCCCTGAAACCTCTCATTCTGCCAAGGTCACAGAAGGAAAACCAACTGAAATGGACCATGAGTTCAGCAGCAACACAGTGGTGACGCATGCCCTCTTACCTGTTGGGGCCTTGGTGTCAGCCTTCTTACTCTCCCGGGCCCCCTTCTGAGCCCACACCTGGACCGTGTACTCCACACCTGGCTTCAGACCCGTCAGGACAGTGCTTCTCTCCTCCTTCCCCACTGGAACCTCCCTGGTGTCCCCATCAGCAGATGTGTAGCGCACCATGTACTTGTCGATAACCGCTCGCACCGGGTCCCAGGAGATGGTGGCCGTGTCCTCTGTCACCCGGTCAGTCACCAGGTTTTTGGGGCTGTCAATTTCTTTTAAAAAATATTTGGAAAAGCCTAAGCTTTGAAGCCATGGGAGGGATGCCCACCACCCCATCACTGTCACTTTTATCTTCTAGAACTCTCTTAGCACAAGGCAATGGTATTCCCATCCAGAATCTGCTGGTGGCCAAGGGACAGGGTAACCCCCGGTTCCCAATTTCAAAAGACCACTCATTGTAAACTTAACATACTTTCTTAGCTTTCAGCTCCCTAAAATGTGGGAGGAATGACATCTTTGTTTAGCAACATTAGGCACATCAAATCAATCATTGAACATCTGCCACAACGTTCAGGGTACCCAATTTATCCTTTTATCAAGGGCTACTTCATGAGCAATCATTCTAAGAGGAATATCACAAGCACTGGAATGGTCAGAGCCTATAAACATCTTTGCTGAGTCCGCTGAACACACGGCCACTGCACAACTTTACTTCTCCTTCCAGTGGACTGAGTGGTATGGTGAGTCGCTCACCAGCATCAGGCAGGGACAGCTACCAGCTATCAGCTCACGGAGATCACTACTGGAACTCACTGTCTTTTTTGCTCTTTAGGACTTTCTTTGCAAGGTCTCTCATGTCAGGCCACATCTTTGGCTCTAGGCACACTCAGAATCCACACACTCAAAATTCAACTCTGATTAACCATCTTTTTCTTGTTACCTGTTGGGGCCTTGGTGTCAGCCTTCTTGCTCTCCCGGGCCCCCTTCTGGGCCCACACCTGGACCGTGTACTCTACACCTGGCCTCAGGCCCGTCAGGACAGTGCTGCTCTGCTCCTTCCCCACTGGAACCTCCCTTGTGTCCCCATCAGCAGACGTATAGCGCACCATGTACTTGTCGATGATGGCCTGCACTGGGTCCCAGGAGACGGTGGCCGTGTCCTCTGTCACCCGGTCAGTGGCCAGGTTTGTTGGGCTGTCAATTTCTTTAAGAGAGATGAAAGAATGTAGCATTTACCAACTCTCTAGTTCCTAAAAGGCCAGCATATACACAGACAAAATGATGATCTCAACAAATTTCAGAGTCTTTTATGCCAGTGATTGGGATAACATAAGGGTTTAATTAAGCAAGTGGTCTGAAATTCCAAGAATGAGCTTATATCACTTAATGATATGTAGAGTTTTTAGACAAAGCCAAAATAGTGTCAGCTCTATAAACTTTACCCACAAGTAGGCTTTGGATTTTTTTAAAAAATGGTCTTCATATACAAATTTCTCCTTTGCCCTGGATTTATATAATACACTCTTTCAGTTCCTGACTCCTCATACCTGAAAGCAATTATACATCAACAAATCTCTGCATAGGCTCTAATATTTTCTTTGGGAAGAAAAATATCCTGGAAGTAGGAGCTTTCAGTTCTTTCCATATAAAACATTATGTCTGTGGCCAGAGAACCGGAAGACTTAAATTGATGGTATGTGAGGTCTGGGTGGATAAAAATAATCCTGCTTACAGAATCTGTCTGGGTTTCTATGCAGTTGAAATTGGGTTGGAATCTGGGCTCCACCATTTCCTAGTTGCTAACTTGGGCAGACTATATAACTTAAGTCTCTGTCCCTTCACCTCCACAAAGAAGGAAAGAGCAGTACCCATCTACACATCTCACAGGTTATAGCAAATCGCAAATGAGATTTTCACTTGGTAAATGCTTAAATATAAGCTCTTTGTTATTATGAGTGTCATTTGAGGCATGAAATACCCTTTTTTCCTTAAAATGTGAACCTCTCGAGTTGGAAATCCAAGTAGTGGTGGTGCACAATTAGCATGCCTTCATATTCCTGTTTCGAAAACCACCTCCTCAAATGGCTGAGCTTTCTGTGACAGCAACTGCATTTCCAACCTGTGCTCCATAGCTGGACATGCACGGCCAGGCCAGGTGGGTGGAGCGCCCAGCCAAGGGAGACAACTTGCCTTGGAGAGCACAGAGTTCAGAAAACACTAGAGACAGAGGACATATATGGAGGACTTACACTCTAGCATTCTCATCCTTCACTACTCCATTCTCATAAACCTGTCCACCATCAATACCACTCAAGGTTATAAGATAATTGCATATTGAGATAAGACAGAAAACCAACCTGTCCTATTCTTATACCTTAACACTTTGCACATGCTTCTCCCACTGCTAATGAGCACCCACCCATCTGTCTAAACCCTGCTCAGGTGTCATCCCTTCCTACTGCCTGCCATGATCCCACTCTCTCATTCCAGTCTCTGGTATGTACCCTTTTCTTCTGATTCCTATAGTTCCACAGACATTTCTCAGCTCTAGAAACAACATAATTCACTGTACTTTATCTTTTTTACTTGTCTTCTCTACCCAGGTGGTTGTGAATGCCATGAGCATGAACTATGTCTTTCATCTTTGCAACCCTAAAGAGCCTAGCTCTGCACCTGATACTGTCAGCAACGCGGTATCAGGCACACATCCCAGTGGCTCCCAATAATCTGGGGTGCTAATTCATACCACCCCCATCCAAGAGTGGGGAAGATTCTTCTCTGTTCCAATTTCTACGATCTTAAAAAGACTGACTCACATGCTTTCTTTTCACAATACTCAAAATCCTAGTAAAGGGAAAGCCTTGTTTAATATAAACCAGGAGGTGGCAATCTACAGTCCCTGGGCCAAATCTGACCCACTGCCTTCTTATATAAAGTTTTAGTGAATATAGTTATACCAGTTAATCTACACACTTTCTGTGGCTGTTTTCGCATTTCAATGGCAGAGCTAAATAGCTGGAACAGAGACAGTAGGGTCCGCAAAGCTGAAAATATGCACTATCTGGTCCCTCACAGAAAGTGCTGACCCTGCCTTTAAACAAATCTAGATCTCGCCATCCTTAATGGCAGCTTCTCCTTCCTCTGCAGGAGATAAGCCCCACTTGGACCCAGGAGGTTCCATGCCGTGAAATGTGTCAAGGGCTGAATGCTGATTAACATTCACTATGGACTGAGTGTTTGTATCTTCCTCAAACTCTTATGTTGAAGCCTTAACTCCTAATTTGATGGTCTTTGGAGGTGATACCTTTGGGAGATAAGTTGACTTAGAAGAGGGCATGAGGGTAGGTCCACCATGATGGCATCAGTGCCTAGTAAGAAGAGACTCAAGTGTCCTCTCTCTACCATGTAAGGGTGTAGGAAGAAGGTGGCCACCTATAAGCCAGAAGCAGGCCCTCGCCAGGAACCCAAACAGCCAGCACCCAGGTCATAGGGCTTTCCAGCCTCTAGAATTGTGAGAAATAAGTTTCTTTTGTTTAAGTCCCTCAGTCTATGGTATTCTATTATAGCAGCCTGAGCAGACTGAGACACACCATAAGAAATAATCACTACTATCACTCACATAGCACTTTGCTACATGTCGGGCACTTCCATGAATTAACTCAGGCAACCCTTACAAGAAGCCTATGAGGTAAATACTCATATGCCCTAAGTTACAGATAAAAATCTGAGGAACATGGGCAGCCCGGGTGGCTCAGCGGTTTAGCGCCTGCCTTAGCCCAGAGCATGATCCTGGAACCCCGGGATCGAGTCCCACATCAGGCTCCCTGCATGGAGCCTGCTTCTCCCTCTGCCTGTGTCTCTGCCTCTCTCTCTCTCTCTCTGTGACTATCATAAAGAAATAAAAATTTAAAAAAAAATTTTATCTATTTATTCATGAGAGAGAGAGAGAGAGAGGCAGAGACACAGGCAGAGGGAGAAGCAGGCTCCATGCACCGGGAGCCCGACGTGGGATTCGATCCCGGGTCTCCAGGATCGCGCCTTGGGCCAAAGGCAGGCGCTAAACTGCTGCGCCACCCAGGGATCCCAATAGATAAAATCTTAAAAAAAAAATCTGAGGAACAGAGGCGAAGTGACATGCCCAAAGCCACTCAGCTAGTAAACGTAGAACTGGGCTTAAAACATGGATGTCAAAGCTTCTGAAACCATGTTCCTAACTAATTATTGGCTTCTGTGAGTGTCTCCATGCTAACTGACTGTCCAGAACAGACCCCAGTCAATAAGTGAATCCTTCTCTATGATTTCCTGTCGAGTGTCTGGAACCTCAACTGGGCTCTGAGATTAGACGGCTCTGAATTCAGGGACAGGAGCAGGGGAGAGTGTAAGCAGAAAGGATGCTTGGGACATGCCCCCTGCCATCTCAGGACGGTGGCAAACACATGCGGAGTGGAACAGCTGGTGAAGTATGGGGACGGACCCTTATGGTTTCTGAAAGCTTCAAGGCAGAATCGGGACATTTGGTGACTGTTGACTCAGGATGCAAACCATTTCCATGGTCTGAAAGAGAGCTCCAGATTGTAAGCAAAGAGCCTGTACAGCCTCTGCAAAGGGAGATAAGCATTTAAATTCACTGTCAGCCAAATGCTTTGAGTTTTAACGTCCAAAAAATGAAAATTAGGAAGTGTTACTCTTCTCTGAGAGAAGAGGAGAATGGAATGGAATGGAATTCTAACCCAAATAAGTATGACCTTCTGTGTAAAATAAAAAGGCTGGTTTCTTTTGTTTGAAGTTAAAAAGGGAAAAATCGTAACTGTGAAATTTTAAATTGCTTTTGCAACCCCCTTCCCCATGCCTGCAAGCAAAAGAGCTGATGCTAGGTGGGCATCAGGCTCCGACTCACAAACCAGCTGTCTCCCTGCCATGAGAAAACCCACTGAGGCTCCCATTCCTCTTACCTGTGAGGGCGTCAGTGTTGGCTTTCTTGCTCTCCTGGTTGCCCCTCTCAGCCCACACGTAGACCCTGTATGCCTCTCCCGGCTTCAGGCCCGTCAGGACGGTGCTGCTCTGCTCCTTGGGTACCGCCATGTCCCTGGTATCCCCATCAGCAGAGGTATAGCGCACCACGTACTTATCTATGGTGGCCTGGACTGGGGCCCAGGAGACCACCGCTGTGTCTTCTGTCACACGATCAGTGACCACATTGGTTGGACTATCAATTTCTTCATAAAAATGTGAGAAAGAAAAATTAGAGAAAGACAGTTGTTTGGTCAAGATCACAGCTGCTTCAAGATCTAATTCACTTGAGTGACCTAGCTCCAAGGTCCACACAACGCAATAGGGTCTCTCTGTCCTCTGTGACAGGTAGACAATTGGCCTCTGCTTGAACCCTTGGCTGAGAAAGGGCTCTCTGAGGGATAAAACAGTCCCTTCCACTTTGAGACCACTGAGCACAATAGACAAGACCCCCTCAAATGTAACCACTTGAAGTGGAACTCCTTCGAGAGGCAGATAGAATACACCTAATACTCTTCTGGGAGACCCTCCATCAGGTGCTCAAGAATAGTTACCACTCTCCTTCCCAATTCTCCTCCAATCAAAACACCTTCACCTCCCAGTGTGTACACTTGTAAGTTATGAGCTTTTTTTTTTAAGTTAGGAGCTTTTATATTGTTATACCATACTATGCCACACCACATCATATCATATTATACTTCCAAATTATAGTTTCTAGACCTGGCACATCTAAACTTGCTCCTTTTTTCCCTGATCAGAGAAAAATCTCAGTCCATTCATTCAACAATTTACTGAGCATCCATTGCATGCCAGGGAATATAATGGCACTCAGGAGTCACCAATGAACAAAACATTCAGAAATCTCTGCCTATGCAAGGCTGATGTTCTAGAAGGACCAACCCAGAACAACATGCCCTCCATGTCCTAGACACAATGCTCCTCAGTAACATATCCTCAGCCTACAGCCTCAGAAAATCCCTATGCTTTTTCACACATGTCCCTACTAACCCAGGGGTTCTCAACATTTGTCAACACTGGGCACCTACTAAGTACCACCCCCAGAGAGTCCAATTCAGAAGGTCTCAGAAATGTGCTGGTATCTCTGCTGAAAAAACAAATACGCAGAACTCCATAGATGATTTTCCTGTACATCAAAAGGTTGAGAAACCCCACACTAAACCACATCTTTCCCTCTTCTGCATATAAAATATATTTCCTGAATCCAGGGTTTACTCTTGTTATATTTTATCTTATGGACTTCATTCATAATTTAGTCATTCACTTAACATGCTGATTTTCCTTTCTAGTTTATCATTTACAAACCTAATAAGTAAGCCATCTGAGTGCAGCAGCCATCAAGGACACTTACAAAGGTGCCTCACAGAACAAAGCTGACGCATGCCCCGAGAACCCTCCCTACATGCAGATCTATATCTTTTTGTGTAAAGACATACAAAACAGCTTCTTACTTTCAGAAATTCAAGCAGTTTTGCTTCCTTCCCATCCTGCTCTAGTTCTCCTGGCCATCAATTCTCCAGCAGAGAAGTTAGAACTTTACATAGCTGCATTTTTTCACATCAACTAGAATTACCTTTCTTGAGCACAATGGCAGTGTCTTACTTGTATGCAAGGAAATGAAATATGTTCCATCACCAGAGATGGTGCATATTTTATTTAATAAATCAACTGTCGTTGACTGAGCATATACTAACTGGAAGGTGCTTTTTACACATTATTTTATCAAACCTCATAGTAATAATTCAAGGCATTTATCAGATTCCCCGTGAACAATTTTAGAAAATTAATAATAGTTATCATTTTTAGAGCACTAATTATATATCTGGTTCAGAGAGGTTAGATAACTCAGCCCAAAGTCACTCAGCTAGTAAATGATAGTCATTTACACATCCTACAAACATTCCCTGAGTGCCTAGTTGGAGATAGGAACTCAGTTTAACTCAGTTATCAATTAAAGTGTGCTCACCCACCCCCCAAAAAAGATACGTCAAAATGCTAACCCTCAGTATCTCAGATCGTGACCTTATTTGGAAATAGGGTCTTTCTAGAGATGATCAGGTTAAAATGAGGTGATTAGAGTGAGCCTAATTCATTATGCTTGGTGTCCTGATGGAAGGGGGAATCTGGACACAGAGCCAGACACACACACACACACACACGCACAGACGATGATAGGAAGACATATAGGGAATAGCGAGCCATGTGGCTGGAATGCTACATCTATAGAGCAAAGATCATCAAGGATGGCCAACAAACAATAGAAGCTAGAGGAGGTAAAGAATGATTTCTCCCTAAAATTGTCAAAGAGAGCACAGCCCTGCAGACAGCTTGATTTCAGACTTCCAGCCTCCACAACTGGGAGACAATACATTTTGCTCTTTTAAACCACCCAGTTTTTGGTTCTTTGCTACAGCAGCCCTAGGATACTAATATAGTTGACCCCTGAACACTGCAGAAATTAGGCTCCTGGACTCTTCTGCTCAGTTGAAAAGCCACATGTAACTTCTGACTTGCTAAAAACTTGGACTCATAAACTACTGTTGACCAGAAGCCCACCAGTAGCCTCACACATTTGAGTGACAGATATCATGTATGTTATATGCATCATATACTGTATTCTCACAATAATACCTCTTTTTTCTTAGTTTATTTCCAGGATTTCTAGGCTATGTGGTTAGTGAGTTTTTCCCAATCATCACGAATCTCAAAAATTTTTTCCAATATATTTATTGGAAACAATCTACAGGGCACCTGGATGGCTCAGTGGCTGAATGTCTACATTTGGCTCAGGTCATGATCCCGGAGTCCTGGGACTGAGTTCTACATCAGGCTCCCTGCAGGGAGCCTGCTTCTTTCTCTGCTATGTCTCTCCATCTCTGTGTCTCTCATGAATAAATAAATAAAATTTTTTTAAAAAATAAAGGAAAGAAAACAATCTGCATATGAGTGGACCAGTGCAGTTCTAATCCATGTTGCTTAAGGGTCAACTGCAGAAGCAATGAACAGAATAAAGACACTACTATGGAATTTATATTTTCCTGAAGGAGAAGATGATAAACAAGAGGTGATGGTACTAGCAAGCCCAATAAGGCAAGACAGAGGATTAGAAAATGCTGAACAAAAGATATCTATGAGCTTAAACAGGGAGGTGATGAAAGAGCTGTCTTTCTGGGAAGGCAACATTCAGACAGAGACTGAAATGAAATGAGGCAGTGGGCCATATACAGTCCAGAAATCTCATTCTAGGCAGAAGGAGCTGCAAGTGCAAAGGCTCTGCTCCACATATTCAGGGAGCAGCAAGAGGCCAAAGTGTCTGGACAGTCAGCGAGGGGGCTTGAGCGGCTAGAGGTGAGGCCAGGGAGGTAACAGAACAGTGGACTGTGGACAGCCTCCAACTGTTGCTTTTACACCGAATAAAGTAAGAAACTTCTGGGTGGTTGGCACAGAAGAATGGCATGATCTGATCTGCTTTATCAAAGGATCCCTCTGGCTGCCAGAGAGAATACAGGCTGTAGTAAGTCGAGAGAAGAAGTCCCCTGGGAAGCCACCTCAATGGCATGAGAAGACAGGGATGTGAACCAGTGTGGCAGAGATGGAAGTCATGAGAAAGACTGAAATTGGGGAAATTTCAAATGTAAACTTCCCAGAATCTGCTGATAGAATTGATGTGGGATACAAATCCATCCTTCCATCCATCCATGTTGTTTGAGGTCCTGAGCAATCTGCAGAATGGGGTGACCATTTACAGAGATGGAGAGATCTGAGGGAGGGCAGAATTTGCAGTAGAAGGGGGGTGAGGTAGGGCCAGGAATTTGCACCTGGACACTCTAAGTGCTAGAGCCAAGATGTGAACCATTCCTATCCATCAAAGACTGCATCTCCACTTTGTTTGTCCTGAGCAGCACTATCACCAGCCTTTTCTTATGGAAATAAGAACAATAAATAAATAAAAATCAAGAGTGACCTGAAAGGTACCTGCAATCTGAGTCTGGCAGCAGCAGGGGATTGGAGCTCGAAGTGACAACTGGAACAAGGAAACAGTCTTATATCATTGCTTTTGGGAGATGGGGCAGGCATACCTCATAGTAGAGCAGGCAGTGACCACGTCCCGGGCCTCTGGAGGCTCCAGCAGGCTCAGGGGACAGTGTACACAAGAGGGAGAACTCGCTCCCCACCCAATTCCCCTTTCTGCGCAAAGCATGGTTTTGCACATGACAGGAGGGAATGAAGAGAGCCTCCGAAGGTCCAAAGGTAACATGTCAATCTGGGAAACCAGGGTGGTCTTGGGAATGGGGACATTTAGAATGGGAAGTGACAATGGGGGGAAAAGAGATCGGGAACACCCTACAGTCCTGCCTCCCAAAGTCCTTGGTCCTCATCATCTCCAAAGTGACCCATATCTATACAACCCATGGTCCCAGCAGTGCCCCCCACCACCCCTGCCTGGCCCAGATCAGTGCTTGGCACCATAGCTGCAGGACCCACAGTACAGGCCTATGCCTTGTGGGGTCAGGAACGTCTGTGTGTGGAGCCCTCTCAAGATCCACCATGCCCACGTGAGTGTAACCAGCCTTGACGCATCTTGTTCCCTCAACAGCCTCAGAGCACTCGAGGAATGGAGAAAAGCTAGGGAAGGCATCTCGGCTATGAAGAATAAGAAGGTAGGAAGGAAAAATAGGATCCTCCCATGCCAGGGTTCTGGAGACCTAGCCCAGAGAGGAGATGTGACTTTTCCAAGGTCATAAAGCCAGTCAGAGGCCTGGCCAGCTTGATATTCAGGACTCTGCCCTTTCTCTCAATCCCTAACAGCAAGACCCTGAGCCAGAAGGAGGGTCTTCAGGGAGCTGCTCCTTTCTGTGATAAATCTAAGGATGGGAACCAGATGCCAAGTCACAGAAGCAGGAGGACAGCCTCAGTGATGGGACCCCGATGATGGGCCACATGGCTGGAAGAAGCCAGCTTAGCAAGACCAAAGCCTCCCTGTCTGCCAAGAAGGGATGTGGAGATCATAAACAGTTTTTCCATGGAACAAAGCCTTCCAGGAGCTGCAGACGCTGACTGAATCATAGATGAGTCACAATGGGAGCCGCAGAGAGGAGACAGGCTCTCCTTCCGAGGCCCCAACTTCTTTCCCACCTGCCGGACACCAAAAGCCCTGGTAGGACCTTTCTTAGGGCCATTCAAGATAAGAGAGATTTAAGACAAGATTTGGGAGGTAGACTTTTGAGTTGCATGTGTTAGACCAAAGGGCATCCCTACCTCCAAAGATCTGATTTGCCAAAATGAGTGTGCGGAAGAAGCTAATTAAGAGCTCTGGGCACATCAGGAAAGTTTATTCTTTATGATGAGATTCACCACTAGCCTGGGTAGGGCATGGCTAACCGAGGTCCGAAGTCTGAGCTAGAACACCAGCCTAACATGTCCCTGCTACAGCCCATGGCAACAGGCATTGGGAATAGCTTTCTCCATTCATAGTGGCTACTTCTGAACCACCCAGTTGGTTTAGTGGAAAATGGCACAGCCAGGATCTAAAATCTACCAGGATATGGGCTTGGGGGCAAAGATGGGGGATAGGGCCTTATGCCCCTAGTTTGAAAGTGAGTTCTTGGTAGATAAGGCCTTCTTCGGACTCCAATAGCCATGTGTCCCATCATCTCACTGCTTTAGGCCTCCCCTACTGCTTTCAGTGTGGTAATAAAACTATTCCAAAGGCATTATTTATAGATAATGCACTTAGAGATCAACTTCTCTCTACCTGTTCTCCTCCAGCTTTGCTTCTGGAAAGGTTGTGATTTGACCTCAAGCAAACCCACATTCAAAAGCCATCCACTAGTTCACCCTGACTCTCCTAAACTTTGTGGGCTTCCGTTTTCTCACCTGTAAAATGGGAATAATAATGCTTATGATGCTGTTATAAGGACCAAAGATAATATTTATGAAGTCCCACAGTCCCTAGAATATAGGGGATACTCAAATGATGAAGATCATAATTATTTTTCAGCCACTGGGTGTATGTGGGTGGCTTTGTGTGAGGCAGGAGCACTGAATGTTGGCAGGAGTTCATCTTGAAATATGAAGGAGTATAAGAAGGAAAGTTTTAGGGGCTGGGCCATTACAAATGCAGCAGTGTGTGTGGAAAGCAGTAAAAGGTGAAAAAGATCCTAAGAGAGGCCGAGTTGCTATTTCACAGCATTGTCAAAAGGAAAAAGTCTAAGAAAATTGTTAATACGTGAATATGCTAGGCTGTGTGTTCTGCTGTTCAGAGGCGCTTGTGAAATTACGACAAAACAAGCAGTCCTTTGTTCTGGACTCACCACAGAAAAGCATGAATCACAGGAGTTATTAAAAGACTTATAATACTGTAAAAAAAAAGGGGGGGTACTTTTAACTCATTTAGTCCAACCTTTCCTTTGACAGATGGAGAAACTGAGGACAAAGCGGTAGCATCACCTCTTATTTAGTGGTCTGCCCTTCTTGTCATTGGAGGTGAGGTGGCTGTGAGGGCTCAACGGCCAAGTCCAGGGACATTCCCCCTGAAGACACTGGTCTGGCTGGTGCTGGCCCCTCTGAAGTTGACCTGCTTCTAAAGCTTTGCCTTTCTGGAAGATGCTTCAATGCGCTTTGAGTGTCTTAACAGGGTGAGGATTTTCAATTGACCCCTTCCCTTTCATGGATTAGTTCCACTGAGTGACTTGTTAAATGGAAAATACCTGAACTGTGTCATTTCCTCCCCGCACGTGGTTATGCTATTCTTATACGTTTCAGTGTCTTTTTCCATCTCAGGCAATGCAAAATATTTGGAGAAAAGAGAGATTCTTTCCCCCGCCCCCCACCCCTTAAATTAATGAACAGTCTAGCCAGGTTTAAGAGTGTTTCCTGACCTCAGAAGTGATTGTGTCTTTTTTTTATGTTTGTAGGACACATGACACAAATTTATTTGCTTTCCAATAAAATATCCCATCCTGCTTTTAGATGATAATTGACAATAAAAACGCTTCTTGAGTGCTCACATTCTAGTCAGGATAACATACTTGAAAGGTTAACTAGCAATTCAAGGCCACGTGTGATTAAATGCTCTAAAAATTCCAAGACAAAAATGGTTGCTATTTAATGTGGTCCCACAAGGCCTTGGCAGAGAGGCTAAGGTTGGAGCTGAGCCTGGAAGGATGAGTGATCTTATTGCTATGAGCCCCCAAAGGGCAAGGACCAGGACTTTTCATCTTTGGAAGAATCTAAAGGGACCATGTCTCTAGTGCTCAGACAGTGCTCTGCAATTACTTTTTGTTGAATTAATTGATAGCTCGAATTAATTGAATTCCTGATTGAATTAATGGATAGCTAGAGATAACCATGGAGGCTTTCCTAGGCTGGAGTCACAACATGAACAAACCCATAATGGAGAGATAAGCCTTCAGTGTATTGAAACCTGAAGAAAGGGGCGCCTGGGTGGCCCAGTCAGTTGAGCATCCGACTCTTGATCCCAGCTCAGGTCTTGATCTCAGGGTCATGAGTTCAAGTACCATGTTTGGCTCCATGCTGGGGATGGAGCCTACTTTAAAAAAAAAAAAAAAGGAAAGGAAAAAGAAGAAACCCCAAGAACAGGACAGCAGCAGGAAGGCTTCCCTTTGGGAAGTAGTAGTGAAGTGAACCACAGCCCAGGATGGCCTGCTCCACTGAGGCCAAGGTAACAGGAGTTCTGCATTATCCTAAAGCAATGAGGAGTCCCAGAAAATTTTTATTTAGGAGGTAAACAGTATGAGAATTAACCAGAAACAATGGGTAAAAAGGTAAAAGAGGGAGACACTTTAGTTTTGGGTCCACTGAAGCGGATATCCTAGGTGCAAATCCCAGCTCTGTCACTTCTTGCCTGGGCAATCCAGAGTTTAACTTCTCACTGGTTTGTTTGTTGGTTGTTGTTGTTTTTTTTTTTTTTTAATGTGACTTATAAATAATAGTAGGACCTACCACATAGTTACAGTGAGAGCTAAATGAGATAATTTATGTGAAGTACTCAGTATAATGCCTGACGCCTAGCAGGCTCTCAATTAATTCACAGCTAACAAGAAAGCCACCAAAAGCAAGGAAGCCCTCGCCATCTTCCACCCCGCTGAAAGTTTCCACCAGTCCACCACTTGGGCAGGCTGCACAGTCTGTATCGTCTCGTTCCTAAATGAAGTTGTATCTTATCCTTCCCAACTGTCTGACTCTAACTTTCACACTACAGATATGCGATCTGTCAGGCAACCGAAATAGCAAATTCAATTCTTGCACCCATCTCACCACCCTGGCCAGCTCCTGCCAGGACCAAATTGAAAAGAACTAAAATGCTTTTTAAGGAAGTCTCCAAATCCAAAGATCCCTTCTTGGCTAGCGTCAAGGATTAGCCTTCCCCCAGTGGCATTATCATCTAGCTCACCAGTTCCCAACTGGGGCTGGCAGGAGCCCAGCCACTGCAGGAGACACACCATTCCATACGGACTTGAACACTGGCTCAAAACTCAAAGTTAGGGATCCCTGGGTGGCACAGCGGTTTGGCATCTGGCTTTGGCCCAGGGCGCGATCCTGGAGACCCGGGATCGAGTCCCACGTCAGGCTCCCAGTGCATGGAGCCTGCTTCTCCCTCTGCCTATGTCTCTGCCTCTCTCTCTCTCTGTGACTATCATAAAAATAAAAAAATAAAAAAAATAAATAAAAATTAAAAAAAAAAACTCAAAGTTATACATGGACTCTCTCGTATATATGACTATAGGGATTTTGGATTCTTTTCTGATTCATAACTTGCAAATCTATCGTCGAATGTTACTGATTTGCAACATTTGTCATTTTGTGTTTTTGCAATCCACAGATGTTAAATATACCACTGCTCCCATGTGAGAGCCTTTAAAATCTTTTGACATTTTCCAGCAGAGTGCCTGAGTGCAATCATCAGGAAAAAACACAAGAATGATGAGAAAATAATTATAAATCACCCATTGCAGGTAATACAGAGTTATGTGCCTAGGTCCAAGATAATGAATCAAAATAATCCAGTGATTATTAAATTATTATTTAAAAAAATAAACCAGTGATAAAGGCTAATAAGATAAGCAGAAAAGTATCAGAAATGGCCTTTCCTCTTGACTCTAAGATCCTGGGGGAGATTTTCAATGGTGAGAAACACTTCCAATAGGAAAAGTTTACTTCCCCTCCTCTGCCCCACAAAATAGATGTCAGGACACACAGAGAGAATCTCGCTGCACACAAATCCCAGAGATTTTATCCAGAGAGGAGTCAGCCAAGAAAAATAACTGAAAGCAAATTTGAGAAATGTTCATGGTGCCTCTAAAATAGCTCCTACCTGTCCTGCCATTCAGGAGAATCGGCTTGCCCTCCAGTTCTCCTTTCATGGGCACCACGGTGATCCTATACTCTGTCCCAGGCTGCAGACCTGCAAACAAACAGCCAGGGTCAGTGAGTGCGGGCTCCAGACCCTCTCCCCCAACCCTGCTCTCCCCCAGGATTTCCCTTGTGAGGGGAGGTGAGGGGCTATGCTTCTCACCTGAAGATTAATCTAAGGCAGAGAAAGAGTGGCAGGACCAGTGGGACACCAGGCATCGTGGAGGGGCTTATAGGGGTGGGAATGGGGGGCCAGAGTGGATGAGGTCAAGTTAAGGGAGCTCCTTTCTTGGGCCACCAAACACTGATTTCCCAATTTTACTTACAGCCCAAATGGTTTTATGCCAACGATCCTTCCTTTCCCCCCACCACAAGTTTCCTTCTGTCTCATTGTAATAATTTAGCCTAACTGTATTCCATTATTTTCTTCTTTGCTTTGCCTTTTTTGTTTTTGTTTGTTATTTCTCTGTGGCAGCGGTTTGAAGGACTGTCCTTTGTGATGCAGATATCCAGCCTGCGGCAAAGGACAAGCCAAGAGCAGCATGTGGCAGGCACACACACTGCTCCCCACTCTGCAAACACTGGGAATCCAAGATGCCCTTTCAAGATGGAACTCACAGAGTGGACCACAGAATGAGGCCCCAGAGAAGGACATCACCATGGAACCAATAAGCCACAGGGTCCCCTCCCCTGCATGGGCCACTTCCAAGGGTATTCACTTGGGTATTCATGATTGTGCATTATTTCCCTTAAAGGAAGCTAAATTCTATAGCTTCAGGAGTCACAAAATGTTATCCCAACCTGAAGGGCCCTGCTTCCTAAACAGCCATTCAATTTCCGGCTCTCAGCAGATAACTAGAACCTCCCCACCCAGGCCTCCCAGCATGACTCCTTCCATGCAGCATGCTAAATAAATCAGTCTCTCTTTCTCATTCACACACACACACACACACACACACACACACACACACACACACACACACACTTCTTCCAAAAGGAATGTCTGTGCCAGCATATCCACCCTGAGACACAGACAGGGTTTTCCAAGAGCACACTGGGCTTATAATCAGTTGCCCGGGCGCTCTGAGATTCCAGAGTCAGCTCTGGGATGCTAGAGCACAGTCTGAAGGCCTACAGAATGGGCTCTTATCGGCTCTTATCCAGGACTTTCAGGGTCAGAGTTCAAGTGATTCCTTAGGGTCCCAGGACTTTCTGTGTACACTGTCCCCACCTCAGCATCCACAGCAAACATCTCACAGCCCCAGTGTTGGCTCTTACCAGTGATGTCATATCGGCTCTTGGGGTCACTGCTCTTGGGCACGGTGACCTCGGCCACCTCCTGTCCTGTCAGGGGGCCATACTGCAGCTTGTAGTAGTCTACCTCAGTCGGGGGGTTCTCCCATTCCACATCCAGAGAGTTCTCAGTCTCATCTGTCACCCATGCGGTGCCAAGCACAGCAAGATCTAGGGCAGGGGCCAGGGAAGGCAAGAGAAAGCAGTGAAGGGCAGAGGTCCAGCAGGTCTGTAACAGGCCACTGGGTACCGGTCGGCACCCTCTCATGACACACTGAGAGCATGCTTCAGCCCAGGACACCATCCTTGACAGGTGTCTTAAAACTACCATAGTAGCAAAAAAAAAAACCTGTTGGCTCTCATATTACCCACAGAGGACAGACTATCTTCTGCGAAAGCCTCCTCTCTCCCATCCCATCCCATCCCATCCCATCCCATCCCATCCCATCCCATCCCATCGGATGCCAAGCTGCCCTCCCTGTCCAAGCTGCCATGGGCCATGCCCTGGAGCATACCTCTCCAGCCAATCATCCAAACTGCCAGGCTCAGGGGTCAGGCTGCTCCGAATGAAACACACCCTTTAGCTGCAGAATGCTGCCCTCAAAGACTCAATCCCAGTATGAGAAGTGCAGCTTCTCCCATGTAAAGTATGGGAAACGCATCTGAAATTTTCTGGAGTATGATACTGATAACAGGGACGCCTGGGTGGCTCAGTGGTTGAGTGTCTGCCTTTGGTTTAGGGTGTGATGCCAGGGTTCCAGGATGGAGTCCCGCATTGAGTTCCCAGCAGGGAGCCTGCTTCTCCCTCTACCTAGGTCTCTGTCTCTCTGTGTGTGTCTCTCATGAATAAATAGATAATACCAATAATACAACCAGTCTCTTCCTTCGTCTCCCAAATTACAGCTCCATCCTCGCTGCTCAAACTCTCTTGTAAGGACTGACCATAGGCGAAACTATAAAATAGGTGAATTTTAACTTGGTCCTTCTGAGTATCTTTCCTGCACCTCCGACCACAGTTTAGACCTGGTGATCTCAGCTGCCCAGCCTGTCCAGCCTGCAGAGGAGAGTTACTTTACTCATTTATTCATAGTCAAGTATTATTAATGGCTAAATGTTTGCCCCCCACAATTAATGGCTAAATGATGTGGCTCCAAGGGAAGCAGTTTTGGGTGGTGGCTGGAGAAGAGGGACTGAATCTTTGAGAGCACGGTGCATTCAATGGCCATATCCCCGTGTGGATGTCATCTGACCTGAATTTTGGAACAGAGAAGATGAGCCCCTAGGTTCCCAGCCTTGCCCCTTCCTTGGTCACCTGCCCACCTTCACCACCTTGATGATGTTCCCTAGGTATTCCCTAGGCTGACTGACCACCTGTCAAGGACATGGGACAGAGAATCCATGCCTCAGGCAGGGGGTAAACTCTGTGTTCCAAGGCCCCTCAGTTCAGAATGTTTCTGACTCACTCTGTTATGAACAAAGAACCTCACAGAGCCTTTTCTCTGAAGAATCCACACACCCCCCCACCCCCACACCTACTGGCTTCCATCTACAAGCCTCCAGGTCCTCCCTTCAAAGATGGGAATTCCTTGAGGGAACAGGTCAAGAGGTGACCTGTCCTAGACAGCTCACAAATGAAAAAGCAGAGACTTAATGAAAATATTCAAGATTATTATGGGGATAAGGATCTCTCGGACTGAGGATCCCCTGAGGAACAAGTGGAATGGGTTTAACATGAATCAGATGAGACAGAAAGACAAGCTTCTCAGTTGCAAGCTTTTACAAGTCCCTAGAGCAGAAGCCCAGAGGGGTTACTAAGACTTTCAGAACAGATGTCTCTGCTCTTCATTGGGAGGCGTTGGGCACTGGCCTGTCTGAAGAGAGAGGCAGCCACAGACAAAGAGGGGAGAAAGAGAAAAGCACCCCGATGGTGGAGAGCCGGCCTGGGTCAGCTTGGGTGCGCTCCCATTGAACATAAACGATTTCACAGAACATCAACATCTGACAAGCCCCTGTGTAGCCACGATAGCTCAAGACAAACCAGGGCCATTCTGTAATCGTGTCTGAATACAGGTAAAAACATGAACACTGTCCAAACCACAAAAACAACTAAATATTCTCTCTCTTGACCAATAGGAGTAACTACTCCTTCTTTACTGATGCTGGTTTTAGCCTCCCTCTAGTCTGCTCTTTCTAGATAAGGTTCACTAAGTTACAGTCATAGAGTTGACTCCCCTTCCTGATAACATCCATGCCAAAGCAAAGCCTACGGCCTACCTTCCCCTAAATCACCTAACCCAAGCCCCAGTTCTACCCCAGTCCTTTCTAACGCTCTTACTGAGACACCCATGATGTGTTGTTCTATACTCCAACAGTCAATAAACCTAACCCACCTAACTTGAGGGGTATCCTGGGCAGTCTATGGCTGGAGGGGATTGGGAGAGGCAATCACAAATCGTACTGCCAGGATGAAGGGGCCCTCATGGTCCTTTCCAACATGGAGTCATCCCCATCCCCACCACCAAACAGGATAGGCAGCCTGATGTTTCTGCAGAGACAGCTATGTGCCCAAAAGCCCATCCATCTGGGTCTCCCTGGATCTCTCCCCAAGAGTTTAGTGAAGGGTGGAGGCAACTGATTTTTATTAGCATCTAGAACAGTGCCTGGTACACAGTAGATGTGCAGTAAAATGAGTGAATGCATGGATCCCAAGCAATCAAATAACTAGGTTTCTCCAAGCTCTTGAAGATCTAATTGCTTTAAGAACTTTCTCATGAGAGGGATGCCTGGATGGCTCAGCAGCTGGGCACCTGCCCTTGGCTCGGGGCATGATCCCGGAGTCCCTGAATCGAGTTCATATCAGGGTCCCTGCATGGAGCCTGCTTCTCCCTCCGCCTGTGTCTCTGCCTCTCTCTCTGTGTCTTTCATGAATAAATAAACAAAATCTTAAAAAAAAAAAAAAAGAACTTTCATGAGAAAACAAGAATTTCTAAACAGTAAGCAGTGAGGCTTGTCTTTCCAAAACCTTTTGGTAACATTTGGTGGTACACCAGAGACTCTGTCCCTCCAGATCCATCCCCTGTCCTGCTGTGTGTCCCAGATTATGACCTCTATGAATTGTGTTAGTCAGATCCCCTTGCCCTCTGGCTTCTTGTTACATTCAGCCAGTGAGTTACCAGAAGCTCAGAGGGCAGGATAGAAAGTCAGGCAACTGATCTCCTTCCCTCCCTCCCAGTGAGGTCATGGTGGAATGCCTACATCTGTACCAAAAGTACCTCCTCAGGCAGCCCTCTCCTACAGCTGTTTTTGGGTCTGAGACCCAATTTCCATCCCTGCCCCTTCAGAATGGGGCGGGTCCCCACTGATGCTAGTCCTAGAGCATAGTACCAGCCAAATCTTACCCGTTCATGCCTCTTCACTAAACCATCTTCAATTACGCTGTTCACTCTCTTTCCTGCAGAGATGTGTCTGATACAGGTGGCAAATCTTCACCCACCCCAATTCAAACCTGCTGAGTGGCCTCAAAGGCTCAGAGGGCCTGGGTGTGTGTGGCTGCAGGGCGATCAGGCCTTACTGATCTCGGGGTAGAAAATACCCCTCAAGCCCCAATCCAGTAGGCTCTACCACTGACTTGGAGGAGCTGAGAGAAGGGTGCAAGGACTGAGTTTTTTCTCCAGAAACTAGGATTGCAGTGGCTGTGTTTTTCAACTCCAAATTAGGACAATGCTCCGGAGGAGCAGAAGGGTATTTGTGGGGACAACATAAGAAAACATTTAAAATGGGGCCTTTCCTGGGAAACCCCAGGCATCCCGCTGCTTCCTCACTCCCTCACCTGTGGTGGCAAGCAGATGCTGTGGGCTGCTGGAAACTTCTTTCTTGACGTTGCGCAGGGTAACTATGTACTTGGTTCCAGGCTGCAAACCAAGGATCTCATAGCTGTGCTGCTCCTTGGGCACCTGGATCTGCTTCCCAGAGAGCTCCTGCCCCAGAGGGTAGTAGCTGAGGAGGTAGTGGTCCACCTCGCTGGAGGGCTCCCAGCTCACCAGCAGGGAATTCTCGGTGCTCTTGAGCAGCTGCAAGCCCTGGGGAGCCACCACTGGATGCCGAACAGGAAGAGGTGTGAAGAGGGTGGGGAAACAGGGACAAAGATGCATCACCAACGTGGAGTCACCGACTGTATAGTATTGTGCAGGCCAAATCCTGCCCCTTCATTCATCCACCCACCTGCGGTGGCAGGTGTAGGGCACACAGCGCCTGTGTAGGGCCCGGCTCTGGACAGCCACCCCCCCCAACCCTCCACGGGCAGTTACAGGGCTGAGTGTTAGCACCGACTCAGACATCCCCAGACACACGCACAGGTGCACGCACAGCTGCACCAGATCGCAGACGGCCACTGGTCCTCAAACCAGCAGCGTCAGTATCATCTAGGACTCGTTGCTACGGCAACTCCTCGGGCCCCACCCCGACGCCCTGCCTCCCACACGGGGGGGGGGGGGGGGGGACCCAGCCATCTGTGCTTCCCGAGCCCTGCAGGGCTTCCGACGACGACGCGGGGAGGGGGGGGGTGGAGGCCGGGTCCTCGCGCAGGAGCCCCCGTGTCCACGCTAAAGGTGCGGCGCGGGGCCGGGAAGGAGCTGGCGGGGGGGGGGGGGGGGGGCTCGCACCGTGCGCGCAGTCCAGGCCGCTGAAGCCCTCCTCGCAGTAGCACTCGCCCGTGTCGCAGAAGCCGTGGCCGCTGCAGTCGCCGGGGCAGCGCCGCTCGCTGCAGTCCTCGGACGTGAAGTCCTCGTGGCACCTGCACACGCCGCGCACGCACACGCCGTGGCCGCTGCAGGCCCCGGGGCAGGCGGGCCGCTCGCAGGCCGCGCCCTCCCAGCCCTCGTCGCAGCGGCAGCCGCAGGTGTCCGGCGAGAGGCTCCCGTGGCCGCTGCAGGGGGGGCTCGCACCTGCCGCCAGGGGAGAGCGGGCTGGGGTGCGGGCGCCGTGCGGGCCTCCCCGTCCCCCGGCACCCCCCACCCCCCGGCGAGCCCGGAGCCCCCTCTGGGTCCTGGCAGGACCAGGACCTGGCATTCTCTGAAGGAGGGCAGGGCCCAGGACGAAGGCAGGGCGCTGCCCCTTCCCACCTGAGCCAGACTCTGACCCAGCTCCCGCCCCCCTTCCCCGCTGCTGCTTCCCCTCCCAGTAGAGACTGGATCCCCTGGTCTCTCAGCGCCCACAGGCGGAAGCCCAGGAGTCCAGACTCACTTTGGGAGTCCCCGGCCCCTGTCTCCTGAGGCCTGCGGGTACTTCCTGCAGCTACTGCCAAGGACAAGACCCCCGCCCCACCCCGAGAAAACCCAGAGTGAGGTGGGAGCACCCCAGGCTCATGGGAAACATCTGGCCCATAGAAGGGGCCATCAATTGTCTGTTGAGGGCACCTGGGCGGCTCAGCGGTTGAGCTTCTGCCTTTGGCTCAGGTGGTGATCCCAGGGTCCCGGGATCGAGTCCCTCATCAGGCTCCCCACAGGAGGCCTCTTCTCCCTCTGCCTATGTCTCTGCCTCCCTCTCTGTGTCTTTCATGACTAAATAAGTAAAATCTTAAAAAATATTAATAATTGTTGAATGAATACCAGGTGGCAAGCTCACCAGCAGCTCCTTGGCAGCAGCGCTGGACATTACACTGCTCCTTCACCTCCGCCATCTCTTCCTCCAGCTTCTTCACCCGGGCCAGGAGGTCTTGGACGCTGCCTGCCAGCTCACAGTCCTTCTGTGGTGTCTGCAGGCGGATGTTGTGCCTAAAGATGATGTTCTGTTCCTCAGCCTCCCCGGGGACCAGGAGCGAGGCCCCATCATCACTAAGGGGCTGAGGGTCAGTTTCCACCTGGACCAGAGCAGACTTGGGCACGTCGATCTTGTAGGTGTGACTGACAGTGACTTGTTGCTCCTTGTCACTGCAGCCCTGAGGCTCGAGAGTGGCTGGGGCTGATGCCACCAAAAGCACAGAGCCAAGCAGGAGCCCCAGGGGGAAGCAGAATGTCCCCTGGAGACCCATCCTCGGGAGCAGACCCTCTAGGAGACCTGTATCCAGAAAAGATGCAAAAGACAAACCATGGATATTTGCTGATGGAAACTGGCCTTTTGAGTAGATTCTAGGAGCCCACTGGAGGCTGAGAAACCAGCAGAAATATTTCACCCTGTGGCTCCTGAGGATCTAAACTAAATTTTTTGTTTCTTCTCACACACTACCCATTCCTGCCTCCTGTCCTACTGTGACCGGGCTTCGATTCCCCCCATCTCTAATCTATACCACACCCCTAATATTACCTGCCCCATTAACACCACCTACAGAGAGAGCAGGCTATGTACCAGGCAGGCCCTGTCCTAAGCGTTCTACATGTTTTATCTTATGCAATCCTCACAACAATCTTTAGTGAAATCTCCTATTATTACCCCATTTCACAGATGCAGAAACTGAGGCTTGGCCACCTAAAATAACTTGCCCACCAGCAAGTGGCCAAGAGTTGCAGAATGTGAATCCAGGCAGTCCAGCTCCTGAGTCCATGCTAATCCATGTCCACTATGTTATGCTGCTTTGTACACATGAGGAAACCAAGGCTCACGGGATTGAACACATTGTCCCGGGTGCCACCAGCAGGAAGGGCAGAGCCTGTACTCATATCCCGGGCCAGGGTTCTGCTCACCACCTCTGCCTGTTGGCTCCTGTAAGCCAACAAAGGACCAGAATTTCTAACACAAATACCTTCTCTGTGAAGCCCTCTCTCATGTCCCCTGTGTCACTCCAGCAGGACACTACTGGCTCTCCTTCTGCTGAGAATTCAGAGAAATGGATTGGTTCCTCTGTGGGCCTCTTGATGGTTTATCTTGTGTTATAGCTACTCTTATACACAGTTTGTCTCCCCATGAAGCTGTCGGCCTCTTAAGCACAGGACCCGAGGCCGATTCCTTGTGGAGCCCTCCCAAGGCAGGAGCACAGAGTCACTCAATCTGAGGGGTCAGTCACCCTCAAATCTGTCAGTGCTCAGCAGGCCTGGTTTGTCAGTCAGGCCACTGGAGCAGGAGCAGGCTGTTAGGTTTCACCTCCAGCCTGGCTCCCAGCTCCATCAATGTGCAACAGGATGCTTCTCCCCAGCTCCTATCCCAAGACGGCACTTTTTTTCTTTTAAGATTTATTTATTTGTTCATGAGAGACATACAGAGAGAAGCAGAGACACAGGCAGAGGGAGAAGCAGGCTCCCTGTGGGGAGCCCAATGTGAGACTCAATCCCAGAACCCCAGGATCACAACCTGAGCCAAAGGCAGACATCAACCACTGGGCCACCCAGGTGCCCCCAGGATGGCACGTTCTTGACCACTCTCAGACCGAGGCTGGGCAGACCACAGGAGACCCAGATGGTGCCTCACATTTGTGTAGGGGCACGCGTTCACCAGAACACCTCTCAGCTGGGCTGTCATGGCACCCCTTAGCTAGAGCTGTAGGGCTGCTTCTTGACCAACTCAAGATGCTCAAGCATTTGAGCAGAGACTGAAGTCAGGTAGCCTAGTCCTTTCCTGTGGCAAAGTCCCAAGTCTTCAAGACTGAAGCCCAAGCTCTCTGTCCCCACTGTGAGAAGCAGTGACAATATTCTGGAAAGACAAGTCAGGTGCTAGGTGTCTAGCCTTGTGAAGACTGCCTTGTCCCAGCATTAGCCTCGTCTGATAGAGTGGGAATGTTAACACCTGCTTCACCGCATTATATGTGGAGAGCACTTTGTACCATACCAAGAACACAGTAAGTGCTCAATAAATATTTGAGGTTTTGGTTTTAATCAATGACTGAATGTGATTTCCTTCTCTTTTTCATCCTTTTTATTATGAAGGGTGATATCTATCCTGAAAAGAGCATGCAACAAAAACAGCATCATTTTAATGAATTGTTGTAAAGGCAACAGCCATGGAACCACCACCCAGGTAAGAACTCTAATGTTGCCAACATCCTAGAAGCCCTCCTCAGGCCATCATCAGATGCCGCCCCTTTTCCTACTCAGTAGTCACAGTCAGCAGAACACCATCAAGAGAGTTGACCTGGGCAGATAACTCCATTGGTCTGAAAAGGAAGAAAGCATCATTGAACCCAATTCTAATACTTTATAAAATCTTTTGATTTCTAAGAGTCATCGTTTATTTAGTATGAAGAAGTGGGGGGGGGGTGAAGATCCCTGGCTGAATTACTATTAGAGATAACAATAATAATATTACAATAATACTACATGTTATTTGTCAAGCTGCTGCTTTGTGCCATGCGTTGGCCAGGTACATTAATCCTCATAGTTAATCTTCAGAGCTGCTAAATAAGATTAGTGCTACTCTGCTTATCCTGGGTGAGCAATGAGGTGTGAAACCAGGAGTGATCCAACTAGTAAATGGCACAGTCAGGATTCAAAACTAGGTCTATCAGATTGTAAGCCTGTGTTTGCCCTGCATCGATATGAAATTCTGACACAAATAACACAAGAGTTCAGCGTATACCCTCCCTATGTGATTCCCTCCTTTGGGCGGATGCCCTGTGCTAAGGTTTTACCCAAGGGCTGTACTACCACTCTGATCTAAACAGAGCAGCATCAAAGGAGAGTTCTTCATAGCATCCCTTTGCCCCACTCACTCCTTCTTAGCTCTTCCTATAATCCAAAGCCTGCATTATGGATAATAATAATGGGGCCCCTGGGTGGCTCAGTCTGTTAACCACTTGACTCTTAATTTCAGCTCAGGTCATGATTTCAGGGTCATGAGATTGAGCCCAGTCTCAGAGCCCCTGTGCTCATTGTGGAGTCTGCTTGAGATTCTCTCCTCCCTCTCCCTCTGCCCCTCCCCCTGCTCATGCACAAGAAATAAATAGATAAATAAATAAACCTTTTTAAAAATTATAATAATGCACCTTTTCTGAGCACTTACTATGTCCCAGGAACTGGATTCAACACGTTGCTGAGGTAATAGAATGGTCAGTGAGACATTCCTTGTCATGGGATTTGCACAGTGGGTAATAAGCGCCCACACATTCTAAAGGGAAATGCTTTACTGGAGATTTTCTGGGGGTAGGTTGGTTTACATAGAAGGTGGAGGGCAGAGAGACCAGTACCTGCCTCTTGCCCAGAGGAATTCAGAGGTGAGTGTTTGCCTGGCACAGCCTGCACAGCAGAGATCAGAGGAGGCAATGGTGGGAGAGACTGTGCCCCCAAGAGTTTGGGGAGACAAGAATATGGAAATCCTGCCATAGGTCAAGTCTATGCCACATATAAAAGGCAGCTGGGGGCCAGAGCTGAGGGGCTATTGCTCAGCAGGAGTGTGTCTCCCCAGTGGGCAAACCATGAGAGGACGTACCCAGAGGGTAGAATGCAGAGGGTCTGGAAAACTCACAACAGATTCCCACAAGTGGGGGCAGGTGGAGCCAGCACTGGGAGCAGCTGCCACAACAAAGGCATCGATAACTAGAAGGAAACCATCATAGCTATAACTAGATAAAAATACCTTTTCCCTTCTGACTTGCCTCCCTGCCTCAGTCAGCAAGCTGGGAAGCCAGAAGCAGCCAGGCCAGGTGGGGGAGGCAGTGGAGGAAGGAAGGTACCAGACCCAGCAGGACCCCTCCCCTCCTGCCCATCTGCAGATTCCAGCATCAGGCCTGAGCTGGGTGGAAAGAAAACATGTGGCCTGGATGGGAGACTGAGGCTCTCCTACTGGGATCTACCTCCCCTTCACAAAACAGTTTTCTTCCAGTCCCAAAGGTGACCAGCAAATCTCTGGAATCTGCTTGGGATTTTTGTCAGAGGAGGGGGGTGGGGGTGAGGAGGGCCAGTAGAACACGTTGGAAGGCAGGTTTTGGGTAAAAATAATGATATTTCACGATTGCTGTCCTCAAAAGTTCAACCCCATGAAAACACCATCACCCACATCGATCTGTTTCCCCCCCCCCCCCAAGGTGGGAAAATGAGACTTGGGGGCATGAGGCAATGTGCCTTTGACTATGCAGCAAAAATGCAGGGCTGCAAACTTAAAGCCATCTACACAGTGTCCACTAACTGAGCCCTTGACGTCCCTCACCCCCGCCCCCCTATTTCTGTCACCCCCCAATAACCACACACACACTGATCTCTAAAGCAACTTCTTTGTATGGAGTTTTCAGTGTCATGAATCCCCTTCCCAGGCAACGGTGGAGACAGGGAAGCGGACTCAGACTTCCCTGCCCGCTCCTGCCATCCAAACCCCACTCCCACCCCATGGCTCACTCTTTTCTGAGACGCAGATGGAGTACAGATGGGTTTTTGAAGAAGTTCTGCACGAATGCAAAACAGCCACAGACTCTTGCCATAAACCGCAGCAAGGCTGCGCGAAGCCCAGTCTCACTGTTTGTTTTTGGAAGCCTGGAATATGAGAAACCCCAGAAGCCCTCATAGGAGGCCTCAGTGTCGCCTGTCCTTCTGCCGCCTGTCGCTTGTAACAAGATGTCATCGCTAATTGCAGCCTCTTGGATTCCCCGAGTTGAGCTCAGATTTCCCCGGGCAGGGTGATTGTTCGAAAGAAGATGGGAGGGAGGCATCCTCAATCTAGCACTTCTGTCAAGTGTAATGAGCGAGAGGAGAAGCCTGCTGGCTTTCCTTCCAACATGTGGCAGGAGAGAAGGCCTTGTGTAAGAGCACAGGGAAGCGATGACCTCACCAATGCCTTTAGTATGCACCGCCAGCAGACCACAGACAGAGAGCTCCGGCAGGGTGGGGAGGGGTGGACAGGGCAGCAAATGTCACCCAGGAAAATGCAGGATACGTTTCTGAATGGGAGGATTTTTCTGCTGAGAAATCATTTCGTAAATGCTGTAGGAATGTATGAGACAAAGGGGGTTTACGTGTATGGAATGTGCCTACAGGAAACCAGGTGTCCCTGAGAATCAGTCTCATTGACTCTCCTCTTGTCTTTAATTCTGACTGCAGGAAGGATGGTAGGGGATCTGGGGAGGTGGAGATGGGGGGTGGGCAGAGGCATATTAAGACTCAAGACAAATGCTGCCTGGTATTGCTTTTTCGAGAAAGGCCCTTTGAGGTGTGTGATGCTGATCATTAGCTGGATGGATGGTTCCCCTGGTTCTGCCCTGAGAACCATACTCATATCACAGGGCTTCACCTTTGTGTTCTGTTCATTCTCTCTTGATGGCCACACCTACCCCTGTGGCTTCAATCTCCAGCCAAACACTGATAGCTCCAAAATCTATGTGTGTTCTTCACCTAGACATCCCTATAATCTCACTCATGGCAGTGGCTATGAATATGTTGATCCCTTCTGTATCTCTAGTCTCATAGCACAATCTTGGCCAAGGTAATGGTTTGTGTATTGAGTAACAATAGCACCTAGGTTTATCGCATATGTGTTTATTAGACGATGGGGACTGGGCTGGGCAATTTGTAAATGTTATTCTCACTTAGTCCTCAGAATCCTGAGAGTCCATTGATCTCATTCTTTGTTGCAGGTGTTCAGAGAGGTTTAGTAGCTTGCCCAAGGGCACACAGCTAATAAACAACAGAGCTGAGATCAAACACCAGGTCTGTCCACTCGCCTTATCTGTGTTCTTCATCTCTCTGCTATCTGTACTGCTCCCAAATTAAAAAAAAGAAAAAAAAAAAGCTAGTGAGAAGATTACTACATGTGAGAAAGAAACCATCGTCCTCTTGTCTATCATATTTAAGAGAGATTCTTCTGAAAATAAGAGAAACTCACAGCTTACTGGGTGCTCAAGTCAATATGAATTGCTCAGTAGCTAAATCCTATGCCTGCACTTCCTCTGAGCAGTGCCGAGGATGACCTCCTAGAAAGATAACTGTTTTTCCCCCAATGAGGTTAAATCCTGCTTGCTTCTCATGAGATGTGGAGAAGTGCCTTCCCAGGAAACACAAAGCAGACCAAGACTTCTGTCTATAGGGGCAGATGTCAACTGAGGCTTGGCCAGAAGAAGAGGATAAAGCCTGTGTCCTAGATGGTCCTCTCCTATCCTAGGGCAGATGGTCTACACATCACCTCGTTTTCCCCAAGAAGGACACACATCCTGGTCAGAAATAAAATACCCTACTTGCAACAAAAAGAGTGGCAGCCAATTTCTAGCCACCATTACAGATCTTTCTACTTAAATTCAGGGCTTTCTTTGGTTCCCGTATTACCTCATCCTGCCTTTACAATTAACCACAAGCAAATGAGAGCACTGCTTTGGGTTTTAGAAAAATTGTATCATCCATTTCCAGTAGAGTTAAAAAGATACTTTTTAATATTCTGCCCCCAAATCACAGGGTGGATATCATCGAACCATGAAGGAAAGTGGGGGACATGGTGGTAGGGATGCACTGATGTCACAAATGCCACCCGGCAAACTTGTCACTCCTTCCCCAAACTCTCTCGGACATTTTCTGCCCCTAATCTACAACCTGGGCCCTAGGTGAACCCCAGGTCTTCTGGCCCAAGTACTTGGTCCAGAAGAGCAAGTTCTTGGGTTGCCTGGCTCACTAGTCCTGGGCCAGACACTTCAGCCTGCTGATTTCACCTCTGATCTCTTTCTCTTGCAGCAATGCAAGCATGTGAGATGCACAAGACAGTGCTCTTTCAGCTAGGTCACACTCCAGACAGACCAAATACTTACAATCACTTTTATTTCTGGTCCCTGTGACACTGAACTCTCCGCACAGGTATACCATATAGGATAAGAAACACCAAGTGTGGGTGAGAACGAACAATTGGCTTCATGGGATAAGGCTTATTTGGTCCCCCGCTCTTCTGGATCTAGTAGACCACACCCATGAGTGTCCAAAAGTCCTTGTAGATGACTCACACTGCCATGCAAGACCCCTTTTCCTGAAGAGCTCTTTCCACCAATCTGCCCACATACCATAAGCTAGAAAAGCTAACACATGGTGTCTCTGCTCCAGCCTCAGCACTCAATCACCTTTTCAGGGGTGGTCACGAGCTGGTGTGGTTGTTTTGTTCCATCAACCAAATATTAATCTACCTTATGGGGGCTCAAATGGGTGACAATAGTAGTTTCCATTTTCTCAGCTCTTTTGATGTGCCAGGCTCTGTGCTAAGCTTTCTTAATGCTTTTCCTGAGCATCAAGCAAAAATGTCCATTTACACCATGGGAATGAATCCCCTTCTCGCAGAAAGCCCTTCCATTCACTTTCATTGGCATACACAGGCTCATGCACAGTGAGAAGATGAAATGAGCACAGGAGCATAAATTCAAGACCTGCCTCCCCTACATCCAGCCACACAGCCAATCTCCAGAATGGTTTTAAAGCATCACTTTGCTAGACACACAGGTGTAGGGGGCTTCTGATGACAAACTGTTTCAGCTGAGTGATAATGTAGAGAGGCATATTACGAAAATGTTGCATTTCCTTTCCTTAGTTTAACGTGTGCTTTTTCACTTATTGTAATACTTTTAAAGTGCCAGCCTTCTCTCAAAGACACTAGGTTCCATACATACTCTCTGGTCTCCCCTTGAGATCAACAGCACATATTCAGACAGTGGCTGGTTGACATTAGCAGTGAGTCTACTGTGGTGAGACCCTGCAAAGCTCCTGGCCATTCAGGGACCAATCTTGAGATCTTAGCATCATCAGTTCACAGACTGGTGGCTCCAGATACTGCTCCAGAACCTAAACCATGATCTCACGTCTGTACCCAGACCCTATAGGAGCCAAGGCTCTGGAATGAGCAGTGGATGGATAAGAGTTTCCACTGACATGATTCCTAAAGGCGTCTTCTCCAGAGCAGACCTCAGCCTACCCTACATTTCAAACCACAGAACGATGCTAGAATAGAAACCAGAAGCCACAAGATGATCTGAAGTCATCCTGCCCCATTTTCCCTTCTTCAGGACTCAGCTATAGCCATAAACTTGGGGACATAGCAAGACTCAAAGCTGCATGAAACAATGTCTGGTTAGGGGCTGTGGGGAGAATTCCCTCCTCCCCTTGGAAAAAAATGATAACTGATGTTAAGAGTCTGTCTCCCAGCCTCATCACCTGGACTTTGAGTTTCCAACAAACACCAAATTCTTCTCATGCAGATTCTGTGCTTAGCCGGCCACCAGTCTATAGTCCAGGCTAAGCAGGTGTCACCTGGCTCCTGGCTGGCTCCTCAAAGAGCCCATGGACATTAGGCACTGCAGCTAACCTAGTTTGTTATTTTCATTTTTTTTTTAATTTTTTTTTTATTTATTTATGATAGTCACAGAGAGAGAGAGAGAGAGAGAGGCAGAGACATAGGCAGAGGGAGAAGCAGGCTCCATGCACCGGGAGCCCGATGTGGGATTCGATCCCGGGTCTCCAGGATCGCGCCCTGGGCCAAAGGCAGGCGCTAAACCGCTGCGCCACCCAGGGATCCCTAGTTTGTTATTTTCACATTAGGATTTGTTCTTTCTTTAATGCTTATATCAGCAACTCCAGTTTTGTGCTTTTAGGTGACTATTCTCATTCATTCTCTCTCTCTCCAGCCCCTCAACTCTCTCCCAACCACAAAAATAAATAGATAAGTGAGTAAAAAGACCCCCAAGAACTGGTTCACCACATAGTTTCTTGAAATGTTTCCAATGGGTGTTCTTGAGGCATTGCAAGGGTCATGGCATGGGAATTTTGGAGGAGGAAATTGTCCTCTTACAAATAAGAAAGAAAACCTAAAAAAATTAACTGTTTGAAAAAACTTCAAAGCTCTTCAAGTGCATTTGCAAATATCATCTTACTTGGCATAGGCAAAATCCAGAAAAGGGGAAAGTTAGAATAGTTTTCTGATCACATCTAAAATCAAAGTTTCATTTTAGAATTCTTTTAAATAGTGAGGTGTAAGAAAAATTACCAAAAAATTACTTTGACATTGTAGCAATAGTTTTAAAAAGCCAACAAAGAAATAGTGCTGAGAAGGACACACCAAACTTAAAGAAAACATTGTATGTAAAAATCTATTATTACCCCAGGCAGAAATTTCCTACAACACACAGACTAGCATGATCAGGTAAGATGATGACTGCACCCAGTCCTGTTGGGGTATCGAGTATATTGCTGGTTAAGGACATGTAGCTTGGGTCCTGGAAAATATTTCCTAATTGGGTTTTTCTTCCCACCAGAAGTAATAGGACACTGGTTACGCTGTCTGGATTTTCAGGCTCAGGAGCTCATTCCCACCCAGCCACCTTCCTCCTTGTCATAGGTAAAGCCTTCAGACACTGGTGCTCTTACCTCAAAGGCTGCTGGGCACCACCTCTAACACTTCTGTCACTCAGGACCTGGGCCCCTTGTGCTGCAGAACTCGGTGCTGCTCCTTCCCGCCTTCCTCTCCCCTCTGAGCTTCCCTCCTTGGGTTTAAATCCTGTTGGGGCCAGAGGAGGAGCCAATGAGGACTCTGGGGTGTTTCCCTCTTCTCATAAGAGACTCAGTTAAGAGATAATGAGCAATTCCTTCATATTCTAACTAGGGAAGAAAAACCGTACACATTTCCCCCTTCTTTTTTACATCCATTACGCAGCAGCTAAAAATACTGGAGACTGTTTCCATTTAAGTGGATCCAGAATAAGGTTATTAAAAGAGTTTGCATGTCTCCTGGCCAGGAGCTGGGTCTTTGAGTTTGAAAGAGATTTTATACAGTCTCTTTCTTTTTTTTTCTGTCTTAGGCACCATGGGACTTAATTGCCTACGATTTTTTAAATATGAAATGACTTTTGGCACAGAAAGAAATGAGCAGAGACCCTCAGGGACAGAGCTTCCTGCAACCTCCCATCTCCTCCTTCCATCAATTCACAGCTCTGAGTGAATGGGGCTCTGAGGACTCTAGGAGCAAGAACAGTAGGTCCTAGGCATTCGATTCCACTGCCCACCCTGGCCTACCCCTTCCCGGAGGCCTCCCGCACACCAGCCACAGAAGAGCTCCATCACCAGGAAAACAGAGTGTTGCCCCTTCCTTTTCTGCCATCAGATGGACAGACCTTAATTCTTTCTATGAACCAGATCTATTCCAATGAGCCATGGCTGACACTCACTGTCCTTTCTACCCTCCACCCCACCTCTACCCTGCCTGAAGTAGGTTCTAGAATGCAGATCTATGACACAGTGGAAGGAGCCAATATGTTTCAGCCTACCTGTGTAGGCACTGAATGTTGTTGGAAGGAAAGAAGGACAGGAGAGTTGGGGGGTGGAGCAGTTGCCCCAGAAGTGTGAGGGTGCATCCAGAGTCAAGTTCCCTATATCTGAAGTTTGCATCTGCTACTTGCAAGTGACCTGTGACTTAACTTCTTCCTATGTTGGTTTACTCATCTCTCAAAGAAGAATAATACAGTCATGGTGAGGATTAAAGGAGCATATACATCTAAAGAATTTTGACCGAATCCCAGGGACACACGAGGATTCAATAAATGTTAGCTGTCATTGTTGTCATTATTATCATTTTAAAAATTCTTCTTGGGATGCTTGAGCGGCTCAGCAGTTGAGCGTCTGCCTTTGGCTCAAGCTGTGATCCCAGTTTGGGAACCAAGTCCCACATCGGGCTCCCTGCATGGAGCCTGCATCTCCCTCTGCCTATGTCTCTGCCTATGTCTCTGCCTCTCTCTGTGTCTCTCATGAATAAATAAATAAAATCTTTTAAAAAAATAAATAAAGATTCTTCTTGCATACCTCACTAAGTAGTCTTTGATAATTCCTGCCTCAGCCTAGAAGGATTCAGAGTTATCTGCCCTCTTTACTCAAAACCACAAGTAGCCCTACTCTCTGCCCTTGAATCGAGACCAGCGATACACAGTGGTGGTATTTTCATTGTGGTGTGAGTTAAAACATTTCTTTTCTCCCCTGGATATTTTTTCTCTGCTTCTTAAATAGCAAAATGTCTCCTGGAGGCTCCTAGGATCCTGCTGTCTCCTCACATTGCTCTCCTAGTCTTAATTTACTTTTGTTAATTGTCCTCCAATGAGTGATCTTCACCAACTCTCTCCGTTACCCCATCTTCCATGCCTTAAATAGGAATAACTAAAGCAATGCAAAGCTCCTAAGAGGCTGCTTTCCTCCAGTCTTTCCCTCCTTTATTTAGCCTGTTTGAGTTAGATGCAGGACATGTAGCTGTAACAAAGAGCTCTCCCACCCAATGCAAATAGCCCAACAAGATGGAAGATTATTTCCCTCTCACATAACAAAGGCCACCTGGGGCTGGTAGGGCAGCACCACTGTCCAGAGTGCACAGCCACCTCTCTCCAGGACTATCTCCCAGCCAGAGGTAAGACTAAAGAAATGAGGGCAGAGAAAGTACAAGTGCATTCCTTAAAAACAAAAACCAAATCTTTTTAGTCTACAATTGTTTCAGACTTGCTGAAAAATTACAAAAATATTACAAAGCATTTGCAATAAAGTTCCACCCACATTTTCCAAATTGGCTTTATCATTCACTCTTCCTATATATTTTTTTCCTAAAACATTTGAGAGTCAAAGACATGATATATCTCTTTATTCCTTTACTCCTTTGCCTCCCCTAACTTCCATGTATAATATTTCCCCCAAACTGGGACATATTCTTATATAACCTCAATACAATGATCAAAATAAGGGAATTAACATTGACATAATACTATTGTCTAATTATCGGATTTTATTCAAAGTTCATCATTTGTCTCTCTAATGTCATTTATAGCAAAATAAAAATTGTTTTCTTGATCCAGGAAGCAATCCAGTATAACTCCTTGTATCTAATTGTCCTATCTTTTGAGTTTCTTTAAACCTAGGACACTTCCTCAGCCTTTGTCTTTCATGACTGTGGCATTTTTGAAGAGTGAAGGTCAATCATTTTGTAGAACAGACTCAGTTTGGGTTTGTCTGATACTTCTACACAACTAGATTTAGGTTATGCATTTTGGGCAGGAATACAACAGAAGTGGTGTATCCTTGGTGCATCTTACCAGGAGGCATTTAATATCCAATTGTCCCAGTGTCAGTGATGTGACCTTGGATCATTTGATTAAGATGGGGTCTGCTAGGTTTCTCCACTGAAATAGGTGTTCCCTTGGTAATTGGTAGGTGTCTTGTGGGAAGAAGTTTTGAGACCATGTAAATGTCTGGCTTGGTTTTCTACTTTTACCTGCTAGTTGAGCACCCATTGTTGAATCTTTCTTGAAATATTTACTATGCTGGTGGCCATCAAATGGTAATTTTTCTAATTCCATCACTCCTTCCATGTTCATAGATGAAATTCTATTATGCAGTAGGGATTTTCCTTCCTCTCCCCCCACTTTATTATTTTATTTATCTATATTCAAAAACTGACTCATGTATCCTTACTTTTTATTCTATATGTCATATTTCCTTTACTCTCATTATTTATTTCATTGCTCAAATAATCCCAGATTTGACCAGGGAGAGCCCTTTCAGCTGGCTCCTGTGTCCTTGTAACATGCCCCTGCCAATTTTTGAGCAGTTCCTTTCTGGAAAGCAAATAGTCAGGCTCATCTTGCACTTCTCCTGCCCTAATCCTAAAATCCGTTGTTTTTCCAAGGAGTCTTGTTTCCTTCTACTAGAGAATGATAGACATTTTTGGATAAGGGCACAGCCTAGAAGGGGCACACATTTCTGTAGCATCTCTTTGGGCATAATTTAGTCACATGATCACACACAGCTGCCAGAGACCCTGGCATATCATCAGCTAAGTGGCCATGTGTCCAATGAAAGCTCAGAAGCAGTATTAGTTCAAAAAAGGAGAATGAACATTGATGGACAGCTTGACTTCTGCCACAGAGCCCACCCAAGTACCACTGGCAAAATGCTCTCTCTAAACTGTAAGCTCTCACGTCACTCATCTGTCCAAATCTTTCAGAAGCTCTCATTACCTACAGACTCAAGTTTCTGAAGCTCTCTGTAATGGCCGCATCACATCCTCATGTCCAAACTCATTTCCCACTGTTTGCAAATGCAAGTGGTCAGGCTTCAACCACTCAGCTAGCTTTCCAGGGTCCTGGTACACACAATGCTCATCTTACCTGTGCCCCCTCTTCTTGAGGCCAAGCCCATCTCCACTCCATGAATCATCTCTGATTTCCCTACTATCATGGCCTAAACCAAAGTGAAATCTTTGCTTTTCTAACAGCTGGCTCCAAAGTTTCTCTTAGGGAGGTAACACTATTCATAGAGGAAAATACTTGGGATCCTAAGGGCAGGCTTGCAACGAAACTAAGAAACAAACCAATAAAGGCCACTGCTCTGCATGGGATGAACAGGAACTCGCAAGGGGAAACATAAAAGATTTTGGAGGTGGTGAGGCATGAAGACAGAGGACTCCTAGGCCAGTGAGACAATCCTTAACAGATAAATTAATTTTAAGAACAAGAATGTCTATTCAATATTAAAGTATTTGCTTTGCCTTATATACACCCTCCTTCATGATCCCGTAAGACTCAACCTAAGGTTGAGTCTCGCACACACACAGAGAATCTCAACCTAGGGTTGAGTCTTACACACACACAGAGGCTTTTTTTTTTTTTACTAGTTTAAAAGGGAGAAGAAAAACCAAAGGGAAGGACTGGATCACACATCTGGGTCAGTGTTGCACAAAAGGAAACAGCCAGAGGATTAAGACACCATGCAACAGAGTTCACAGGAAGCAAAAATCCAGAGCCAGACTTGTCTGTAGGCCATAAACCCCTACACCTTGTCCAGGATAGAATTCACAGAAATTGGTGATGGAAACGGGGTGCTTCGGATTTTCTACAAGTTGGAGGCTGGAGGTTAGACCTGACTAAATTTAACTCTCTAAGAAAGGTGACCTCACTTGGCACCTCAGTTACAGAATATCTTCCCTGTATCCCTCATTTCAAGACCAATAGTGCTGGTTGGCTTTGCCATGTGTCCATGCAGAGTCTCCTTTTTTTTTTTTTATTAAAAAAGATTTGTTTGTTTGTTTATGAGACAGAGTGCAAGCGAGAGGGGCAGAGGGAAAGGAGAGAGAATCTCAAGCAGACTCCCCACTGAGTGCAAAGCCTAAAACTGGGCTCGATCTCATAACCCTGAGATCATGACCCAAGCTGAAACCAAGTCAGTCGCTCAACCCACTGCACCATCCAGGCATCCCCACACAGAGTCTCCTTAAGTTCAGTAGGAACTCCTGGAGAACAAGGAATTTCTTTTCTTTTTTCCCCTCATATCACCTATGGTATTGCAAAGTACATAATACATTACCTGAAATTCCATCATGACAGATTTATTCCTCAAAATGCCCAAGAGCAAAGCAAATTCCCCAAACATAGCAGGGCTAAACCATTCTGGCAGGTACTGTTCTGTCTACCTCCCAACAGCC